GCGCATGTATACGTGTTTCTTAGCGTTTGAACATCCTCCCTTACGATCAATTAAATTATGGTCGTTAATTAGATGTTACAGGTTAATGTAAGTAAAAGATTACCTACCGAATCAAACATTCGAAATGAGAACATTTTCTTAATGTTATGCGTGACCGTGACGGTGAATACTCCAATAGGGACGAATATTTTAACAGAGAGGAGTTGACGGACGTTCGGCTGCTTGCGTCTAGACGGATAACGTTGAATCCGGCTTTACATGGACTTTTAAAAGAGACGACGGAGGTAAACAGGCGTTAAATATCGCTCCGCAAATCGGGACGTGCTGCTTCGCTGCAGCGAGTTATGATATCACTTTCCGACATCCTGCGAGTCCCTGGTGCCTCGGTACGTCGCCGGCTCAGTCTAGACGATTCATGGATACTTCCAGGATATTTTAAATATATATCGAGCACGACGGACTGCGGAAGTTTGCAGGGAGTTTAATACCTAACGGTTCCCTAGACTGTCGTTTATACCGGCTCCAAACTCTCCGCTCTCTCCCGGATCTCTGCTCCTCTCGCTTCTTATCTGGCACCCCTCTCTGTTCCCACCCTCGCGTCATCGCCCCCGCTTAATGTACGATATTATTAAATTTCGTAGCCGAAATGTATACCACACTCGTGGGCGAAATGAAATCCCGACGTCGCTTCGCTAATTTTCCGACCGCTGTCGATATCCGCATCGCCGATGGGAATTTTTAAGCCGCGGACGCGGATGTGAATTACGGACAAGCGAATTTAAACCGGAGACTCATAATCTTCCCGATTTGGCCCGTTTGTGGCGCAAAAATAATCGAAATTTTTCAAACGTCCGACGATCTGTTCGATAACTTCGACGGTAGAAAACGATCGATTTCCGCACGCGCGTCCAACGTGCGAGGAGGATGGCGAATCGCGAATCCATTAAATCTGAAAGTCCTCATTTCCATGGAACTTATTATCCTTTTGCCCCAGCTTGAGACGTTAGTCTCGGAGGCCGGCGGACAGTTTCCGAGACAGCGTCTAAAGAGCTGTTAAAAGCCGGGCGGATGAGCTAAAGTGCAAGTTACTCGTGAACTTCCAGCGCTCGTATGTCATTGCGATTTCACGCGGCTGTAATGCAAACGCGAGAGTATCGCGCTTATTATACGCCTGATACACTTTCCGAAAAAAAAAAAAAAAAAAAAAAAAAAAACGGTAATCGCAGATACGGTGAGACAAACGGGGACCTCCCGGTATAAGCCGACAACAATTGCGAACGGGCGTGCAATCGCGTGATCACGCGTATTCGCTAATACGCTTCTACATCGCGAATCTTTATTCCGGCCACGGCTGCGGCCGTACGACCGCGCGGTCTCCGAGTCGCCGCGAGTAATTCCGAAAAAATTATTGACTCACGAGGGAAATTATTTGCCGGGGTATTCCGCGCCCCTTACACCAAGCCGGCATATCGCAGATTGAAAATTAATTTTTAATTTCGCGCTCGCTAAACCCGAGTATCAGTTCCCCGTTATAATTAAGCTCGTGTTATTTTATATTATATCAGTGACAGTATTCTCTCTCTCTCTCTCTCTCTTTTTTTTCGGAAGAACTCAAATACGTTTCGCGCAGAAACACTCGGCGAGTAATGAAAAACCTGGCGTATATATCCGAAGTGACTGGATTCGCGCGGGAAATCCCGCGAGTCTCTTGACAAAGAGACGATAATTGAAAATTTTAAATACTTCTCGCGCGCGCGCGCGCGCGATTATACGAATTAATACGAATGAAGCGACAAGCGCAGGTGAAGATACTCTCTCGGCCGGCTCTGTTTGTCTGAGGTGGAGCGAATTTTCCTGCTGTGTGTGTATACTCGATATTAACACGTGGGCTGGGTCGCGTCCATGTGTACGTTACACATTTCAACGCGGAACGGTGATATGAGATCGTGGGCACATGTGTCACACGCATTCCGCATTGTCCATGCGGGGGGTGCTAAGTAGATATTGACCGTCAAGTGTCGCCATGCACACACGATCGGAAACCACCGCTTGGTGGATCGTCGTTACGCGCGAGTGCATGCAAAGATTCAGCTTCCGCTGAAGCCCTTCCCACTTGCCGCGCGTGCAAGTACGACGCGTATGCGTGCCACGCGCCACGTGCCCCGTACACACGTGTCGCATTCCCAGATGCTAACACGGACACAGCCGGGCCGATGGTGTTGGTAGTGGTGGTGATGTTGGTCGCAGGCACGCCTCTATCGAACGTGCGATTCATACGGTTAATGACGCGGCTTTCGTACGAATACCTGATCGGCCGGCATACCCGGCTGTACGCAGGCATGCTTTGGCGGCACATTGTCACTCGAATTCTGGAGATTGCCATTGATACGGCCGCGGCGCCGGATCGTTATCGATCCTCGTCGAAGTGTGCACTATGCGTACCGATAATTACCCCGGTGTCGCGTATTATCTCTATGCACGTCGCGGTCCCGACGCGGTAACGCGCACCAAATGACACCGTGAAATTTTCAACAGGTTGCCGTCGCGAGGTGTTCACGAGGCTGGCGAGCTGACTCTTACTTAGCGACGTTATTGCCATCTCTCTCCCTCTCCGTCTGTCTTTCCGCTCACGCTGATCTGTTATCTTTTTATATCTTTCGCACAGAGGATACAGGAACTTTCGTATGTGCTTGCGCCCAGATAAGTGGTTCGTAAATAATGTTCGACGGTGAGATAGAGAGATGTGAAAGAAAATAGTTCCGCGAGAATTTGCGCAAGAACGACGTCGCAATGCGAAAGAGACGACAGGTCGATGGAGTTAACGCGCTTCGGGTAAGATGAATAAATTCAGTCATGAATCGGGCCGATTAAACGCGCGCATCGAATGAGGGGCTACTGAATTTACATCTGGCGATACACGTAACGTTACGAGCATCAAGAAATTGATAATTAATTTGTCATTAGTAAGTACGCGTATCCGAACCGCGATGTTTGTGGAATATTGATGACATGGTGCTCGTGCGGTACCACCGAGCGTATCGAAACCTCCTGCTACTGAATATACGCAGTTTATCGAGATGGAATCTCGCCGCTGGCCGCCTCGTACAGCCCATTACTACTGCCCGCTTAAATCAAGCGCAAGTAGCAGTAATATTGCGCCTCTCGAGAAACGGCTTGGAAGCATTCTCTTTCCCAAAGGCAACCGGAATTTTGCTTCTTGTTATAATTTAATAATCATTTCACACAAGCGCGAGTGAGTCGTGTAAATATTCGATTTGGTTTTCGTATTAGCATCGCGTCATAGATTTATATCCGATGTTTCGTGAACATTTCGATTCGTTTTTTCAAGGTGAGGATCCGAAAATTGAGGCGTATAAATTGCAATATAAATTCTGTTCTTTGCTCTCTCGAGCATTAGGCATTATATCGTACTGCTATCGATATTCTTTTTCTTCAAGAAAGAAGAAGATAATGTGGTCGGGTAAGTGTTCACGCGCCACAAAGCAGACGTGCTTCTGTTATTGACGGATCAGCGCTGTGTAATCGAAAATAGGGAGAGAAAGAGAAAAAGGAAAGAAAGAGAGAGAGAGAGAGAGAGAGAGAAAGAGTCGTTAAAAGCGTAATTTCAGCAAATAAAGTACCTGTTACCGGTTCCACTGAAAAGTTCAGATTTCGCTCCCGTTAATGGTCGCGAAGAACCATAAAGATGGAGGTGCACGATTGGGATCTAAGCTTCAAAGGGCCGGTGATCGGAATTGAGGTTTCTTCGTCATTAAGACTTTAACTACTTTCCACGCCGGCCAGCGACGATCGAGTATAGGGGCGCCTCAATGCGTAAATGAGGAGCGCAAAATGAATTCCACGAGATCAAAGCGCGAAACGTTTTTCTTCAGCCCCGGTGCCGCTTTGCCAACTACGCCGGGGAGAGTAATTTATGTACGCAATGGCAGTTCCTCCTCCTCCTCTCTCTCTCTCTCTCTCTCTCTTTCTCTCCCGATTGAAATATTTACTACACCCTGGAACTTCTCGCGAGGTACGGTCAGCGTTGTTTGCGCCTCGCTGGAAATATTGTGAAATGAATCTTGGCAAAACCAACCGTTGCCACGTAAGCACAGCTGAACGAGCTTACACGTATTCGACGCCACGTGTGCGGGGCGTGCTTTTTAGTGCCGAGTATGTATCATTTACATCGCACAATTTGCCGACAATTTGGACGGTCGCACAGAAATGACGGAGTAAAATTATCGTATCGAAGTAGAACTCTTGCATAAGATAAGAGCAAAGATTGGCAAAAACAATTTTATTTTCTCTCTCTCTGTCTCTGAAAATTTTCGGAACTTTTTGTTCTCTGAAATTTTTGGAACGAAGTGTCTCATTTAAAAAGTAGAGTGACAGCCGAGTGATTTTTTTCACATTCGAGTGATTTTTCACTCACGTAGAGTAAATTCCTCGATCTGAATAGTTGGGTAAATGTTTTTAATTTTTAAAGGTTATTTTAAAAAATTTTGTACTCGGCAGCACATGGATTTTTCCGATGCAAATCGCGTCGCTATCAAAGTCGAGCCTCAAAACATCGCGTTAAGTTTAAATGACGAAGAATGAAGAAACGACGCGGGAGCTTGTATCGACATCCTTCAAACAACGCAATAATTAATGGATCTCTTGTAACACGAGAAAACCCATAATCCCGTAATCTTGGAGCGACATTGATTTACGAGTGGGCAGTGTCATTATTCTCAAAAAGTATCAAGATTTCCGGCGCGCGATATCCAGATTCAATATCCTAATACCGCAATTTTTCAACGTCTGCTCGCGAGCGCGTGCGCGCGAAGCGTATCTACCGACATAACGTTCATTAGATGATATCACGTGAAGCCGCCGTTAATTTAATATCGCGACTCGTAAATATTCATACGCTAACGATTACAAGCGCGATACAAGGGCGGCTGATGAGCGTTGCTACTGACACTTGATTCTCCTTTTTTGCCATTCTGTTACAGGGGAACGCACGGAAGCCATGCAACGTGACGCCGGATACGTCTCTTCCGGAAGCGACTTCAGGCACTGGCCCGGACTTCTGCTTCCGTTTTCGTGGCTTCTAATACTCGCGCGCAACAGCCAAACTTTCTTGCTCTAGCGCACACCCGACAGTATTTCACGCTTATTTCTTGCCGTTTCCACCGCTGAGATGTACCTAAAAAGCGACCAAGTCGATTTAGATCGTAAGATAAACCCTTGTAGCTCTTAAGAACATATTTATATAAATCGCGTATTACGGTGTATTCCAGGCGCGACACGGCGCGACGTGCTTACTAAATTCACAATGCACGGATTATGCACAATCCAGAAGAGGTTTGCGATGAGAATTATTTTCCGTGTACTCCACGGACGTACAAAAAAGTAATGTTACGAAACTTAATTTAACTCTGCGAAAAATGTGTTTAAAGCGCAGTAACGTAGATCGTACTCTGTAGAATCGTAAGTGTTCGTAAGCACACTGTATCGCGATCGATGAATTGATCGTCACAATATAATTTGTTAGTGTGTAATATGATGGAGGAGCCGATTAAAATAAAGCAATGAGACGGTATATGAATGCGTTCAAAATACAAAAATCCATGTTGAATATAACAAGTACGCATGAAAAGTAGAGTGAAAAAAGAAGTTGGTAAAAATATAATTTAACAGAGATTCTAAATTAAAAATATATGCATATGCATGCCCGTAAATTGTGAATCATACCCGCCGATAATGATAACGATTTCGTAAATATGTATGTAAAGTAATCGTGATAATTAACGTACATATGAAAAAATTACGAAAAGCGCTTCATACATATTCGTTCACGGATGCGCGTAAAAAGATGACGTACGGGAATTTAATTGAAACGGCGACGGAGATAAAGACGAAGTGCTCCGCGCAGAAAATACGTACGCTGTCTCGTAAATTTAACTTCGCGCGCAAATAATTCATTAAATGACCCGTGACAGTCCATTTGATCTCAATGTCCCGGAACGTTCTCTTCGCTACCCCCCCGCAATTCACGGTGTTTCTTTGAACGCGGCTCTTAAAGTCAATGGGATTAAAGCGGCCGTGTAGCGCCAAAGGATGCGAGGGTAATTTGATATCGTGTACTTTGTACCGCACATCCTTTCGTCGAATGGGACTCGAAGAATATGTCGTGAATTTCATGAAATTCCGGTGAATGAGCGTATCCACGTTACGCACCGCGCTATTTACTTTTGTCCACGTCTCATACATATGTAGACCAGAAAAACTTCCATCGCGAGCTATCACGGAAAAATGGCACGTATGTGTGGACTTTAGTGCATAATCACCGTGCACAATCTTCGTTTGCTTAAAATTATCTGACCTGACGGAACACATTTTACATATATTTTAATTGCACAAACGCGCGTTATATATACATTACACGATTCTGTGTTTCAATACAGGCGTATATTTTGCGGCTGCGCGTCACCGCGAATTTATTAATCCCCATAATACACACGGCCCCGTAGAAGAATTATTATAACGCGGATAAAGTGCGAGTACGTATAATCGATTTTTATTCGGCCCGCATATCGCTGCATGCGGTAAATTCATGCGACATAAGCGCCGGTCGAATTATGCGTCAGACTCTCTTATAAATATCAAATAAGATGTTGTTCACTTATTCATGCTTATTCCAATATGCAGAAGAAAATCATACCGTACACTCGAATTTGACAAATGCAGAGACGTGCGTTACGGCAATTTCTCTTGTCGTGCATCGCCAATTCTGAGGACATAATTCTCCCCTAAATTCGCAATTCCACCGCAGTTACCGCGCTGTTAGCTCTCTTGCGAAGTTAGCTTTGATATGTTATGAATTACAGATGGAACGAGAACAAAAAAGTCACGACAGGTAAGGTTGCATATTTGATCACAGGGTGAATTATCCGCGCGATGAGGGGGAGTCCCAGGGAATAACGCGTTCTGCCGGGCGCTTTTTTGCCCCTCGATGTCGTGCACGCACGGCTGCGAATCGTTCGTCACACGCGACGACGGACGTGCAATAAGCTACGATAAAGCACACGTTGAAATTCGACGTGTGTGTAACTTCGAATTTCGAAATGATTCAATTTAGATACGATAAAACTCGCCTGTCTGCAGACATTTACCACCGCCGAGGATTTGCAAAGCGAGTTACATTTTATGCTTAACCTGATACTAGTATCTGACAATTTTATGGTTGAATAGTGTCCATGGACGTCGTAAAGGGAGAACGCGCCATTTACTACTGAACTTCACGCCGCGTACCTGTACGCTTCCTTTACCACTGAACGTGACGGCGTACCTCCGGAGCGTGTCGCCTCCATTACTACTGAATATTACTTGCTGCATTGTACCGACTTAATGATCACCGTTACTTTAATTTCCTCGGAAACCCGGAAATAGACGGTGAGAACAATTGTTGTAACAACCATAGAAATTGTCATCTGGAAAGAGGAAATGTTTTCCGATTTATTTAAGTATACTACACAAGCACACACACACACACACCCATACACACGAAAAGAGACTGATTGAAGGGTAAGATGACGATGGATGAATGAAATGCGCTTTACTCGAAGGAGGCCAAATTTCTGGTTCGTAAGAACCGAGTTTGATTAATGAAACCGGTTATGAATATCAATTTGTTTATTGCCGTGCGAACTCAACCAATCTCTTTTCTCCATGTATGTTACATGCGTCTTAGAAAAAAAAATAGCAACAAATTCATGCATCACGAGTAGGTGTAGCGAATCGATATTCTTTATATGTTTCTTCCTTCCTCTCTCAAAATATTCGGTTTTATTTTCAGCTCCCGTTGGCTGTTTTCCGCGCGGACTTCTCACGAAGATTGTAATTTGACTTAAATGCGAGGTGTCCCGAATTTATAAATGAAAATGCCGCGACCGGCTGCTTCTCCTCGGGAGTTCTCTACCTGTTTTGAAATTGGCGCGCCCCGTGCGCATTTTATATTCAGGACATTACCTCGTGCTGAATTATTTTTCAAGTTCGGACAGGAGCATCGGTAGCAGTAGTAGTAACTCTTCCCGGCCGCGGTTCCTGTCGTCCTGTCTCAGCCATCCCTTCCACTTGCTCACCGTCGCCAGAACGAATACCAGTTCAGCTTTTCTCTCGGTGTAACCGTATATAACTGTCACTCCACGGCGGGGATGGTACGAGCTGTAAAACTCGGCCGACTACGTCAACGTAACGCCCGACGTGTATCCAGATCCAAATTATAGTATTTGCGTGTTCTGAAACTCCTAACGTTTTACGGAGCGGTGATGCGCGACTCTTTCGTCGAGATAATCCAACCGCGACGGAGAGATGCCTCCGAGATTCGAATATATAATCGGCGAATACATTTGATTCCATTCTCTTCCCGTACACGGTGAGTTAATTCTGTTACGTGTGAATACAATGACACAAAGTGTTGCTGAAGACGAAGAAGAACGAATGCCTTTTTGAAAACGAGGATTTCGCGATAAAGGCTGATAATATGCGGAGACTCCGATTGATTCGTCACACACGCGATGTCTACAACGCGGCGTGTCAATATCCTATTTGATTCAAACGCCCCTCAGCCTTTGCGAGCAGGGCAATTAATCCATGCTGCGCGAAGAGGGACTCGCGAGTATCCAGTGATTAATTAAATCGCAATGCAGTATGCAATTAAATCGACGGATGCCGACGGACGTTCCTGATTACGCGATGGACAGCCGTGGAAAAATGAACGAGTGTGCGACGGGATCGCGCGTCTAACGAGGCACGATGCAATTCGAGCGTCGCGCCGGGGATCGTTAAAAGTGCCGCTTAAGCGACGCTAAAGCAAGAATAAAATAACACTAAATTTACGGCGGGACCGTGAATCAACATGCTTTATGATTGTTCGGGTAGCGGATGATAAAGGGTGGGCGCGGGGAACTAGTCGACCAGGTCGAACAGGGGCTCGAATAGCCGGCAGAGTGGGGGGATGAAAATTGGAAAACTGCATTGTCCACCCGTTCTACCCCTCTGGGACACATTCGTTAGTGGGCATCGTCCGCCGACGATAAATTTCACGTATCTTCCACTTCCTCGTCTTTCACCTGCGCTCAAATTAAAGATCAGCCCGATCGTGATTGCTCTCCGCGCGCGGCTCTCAGCTCCCTCCCTCTCCCCCTCTCTCTTTCTCTGGTTTCCCCGATTGCTTTTATTAAATATTTCGAAAAATATCGAGCCAGTTATGGAATAACCACGGTGTCCGCTTTTTGAGGGCGAATTCGATATTCGACACGCCGCGAAATACTGTCTGGGAATTCGGACGAAGCTAATCATGAGAGGCTTGAGCCCCCGTTTCACGCTATTCGATACGTGACTCTTGCGGTCTCTCACCCGAGTAACTATTCCCCGCCTATCGTGCGAACTCAATCTCAATTGCACTACATTCGAGCGTCGCTATTGAATCGGTCGCGGCGTATAACTTCGTTTCGAGTGTCTCGTTCGATACTCAAGTCGAAATTTTGCCCCTACATTAAATCCACTCGGTTCTACCTATGAAGTCTGCAAGTGGAGAAAATACAGAAATAAAACTTGCCATTTGTAACATGAAAGAAGCATAATAGAAAACCTTTGAGAAGATTTCATGTAAGTAGACTTAATATAGAACTAAAATTTCGACTCGGATATGCATTCGAAAGCGAGACGCCAGTCCCTATTGTGGCCGTTACACGACGCAACATCAAAAAACGTGCGATATAAATTGTAAGCTCGACGATTTTTCGAAGGAACACGCTCGGGAGATTGTTCGCGCATGTATGTGTGTGTGTGTGTGTTCGTTGTACTAAAATTAGAGCGAGATACACGACCGATCGACATGCACATATTAATTGGATCGTATGAAGCACTATTGAAACCACAAAACATATTGATACGTCCGGACTCTGCAAGCGCTAGCGCAAAATTCACTATGACATATCGAAGCGCGACGGGAATAATACGAAATTTCAGAATGAAACAGGTTAAATTGGACGTACCTCGGTGTGGTGAAACGCGCGCGGAATTTTATACACGGCAGGTATATTTCGATCCGTGCCGCATATATTCCCTTCGCACTTGATCTGAGCGCAACCGATTTTTTGGTTCGGACACACATTTTATACGCGCAAACACGCCATTTTCCTGTACCATTTTTTTCCTCTTTGTCCTTTTCCTTTTATTCTTCTCTCTCTCTCTCTCCTTCTCTCTCTCCCTCTCGCTCTTTTTTTTTAATTCGCTACGTGTTCGCGGATCGACACGCACGCCTTGTCGAGAGATTTCGATAGCCGGATAGACAAACGGCGGCTAATTTTCGCGGACTCGCCCCTGCGCGCGTGACTCAAACAAAAAAGGGGCCGCTTTTCCGTAAAAAGTGTTTGCGATCTTGCTTTGTTAACGGGCAATTCAACTTTGTTGCTTCGAATAAACAACGGCCGACCAAACGAATGTACCTTCCCAATAGCGCGTTCAACCTCGCTTTTAGCGTCCCTTTTCACGCAAATTGCCCCGAAAAGCTGGGCCAGTTAAAATGTTTACGAACGTCAAGTTTATTGCGAGGGATACATTCGAGCTGAAAATGCGAGCTTTTACAGGCTGCGTCGATAAAGTACGGTGTGATTTTTGCCGCGCCGTGACTCGTGAATTTCGAAACTCTCGCGCGCCGATTAAAAAGCTGTGAAGAAGTGTATGTAATAATGATTAATGAGCCGGCCTATAGTTTCCGCTCGCCGTTACAGAGCACACGTGTTAAATCTACCCCGCATACAAAGTTAATATCTATAACAATGAGCTTAAATCGAGTGATTTTTCACGTGCAGCGTTAATAAAATCGCACGTCGTTTCTCTCACACACTGTACAGTCGATGGATAAAATTTACGAGCTAATATAATAACTACACGGAAAAAAGTTTGGTTGCGTTGATCAGAAAGGGAGCAATCAAATGCATTTTGATTGAAGGAAACAGAATTTCCGTTTCTTATGATCCAAATGTGGTTCTCATAACCAGAAATTCTGTTTCTTTCAACCAAAATGCATCTGGTTGTTTCCTTTCTGATTAATGCAACCGGTTTCTTCTTCCGTGTAATAATATGATACACATACATGCACAAACAATCATGCGCGCGAAAGTTTTACATGTATAAATATCAGGATATTATGTGGGTCGGGCTTTACGTTGTTTTATTTTTGTCTTTGGCGACTGATTGCTATCTTGCGTTTCAGTGTAGACTTCATTAAAGACTTCCGGCCATAACGGGCTCGAACTCAGTGTACGAAATGGCAACGGTTGAACTTTCCCGCGACGTTGTCCTATTATCATCTCAAAGCATCATACACGCGTAACCCTGAGTACAGAACGTTGCGGCAAATTAAATCGCTGACGGTTAACGTTAATAAGTTAATAAGGGAATATTTTTTTTCAGATTACACGCTCTTTTCACCTGAACGATCACTTTACCGAGATGAGGAGAGTACATTTATGAAATGCCAGAGGTTAAATAAACCTACGCTTCCTGTTTCGCTTTACGTCAATCCGCGTGATAAGATGAAAATTGATATTTAATTAAGATATAATTTCGCGTACATAATGACCGGGGCGCGTAGCGCGTTATAATTTTCCTGTTGTACAGGTATGCGTGCATTAATTGTGTATTATAATGGCGTGCTTTATAAAAACCTTTCACGGACATTGCATATTTGCTCGCAATTGATTTCACTACGTGTAATTGCGCGTATGAAATTTCCAACGCAATTATAAACGAATAACGAGTCAAAAGCGAGACTGATAAAATAAGAATGCCGTTTCCTACAGACCGTGTGCAATATTAACGCTGATTCGAACAGAAGATACTAACAAGTGCAATTAAAGACGAGAGAGTAAATAGTGTGTGAAACTTTGTACAACAAATATTTGCATAATTCTTAAATCAGCAAGTGCAAACATCGAATCACAATGAGAAGATTAAGCCGCTTGAACGTTCGAAAAATCAACAAAGGATTGTTTAAGGAATTTCAAGTTATCACGATGCGAAGAGATGCTTAAATGCCGTATTTTATTATGTAAGGATTTGTCTTCGATGCTTCTTGAACATTCGAGTTTATTTCTGAAACAATTTTGGATCGTTCCTTTGTGAAGAAGTGAATTGAAATGCTCACGAAATAGTCGGAAACAAATCCTTGTTTAACGAATATTGCGTAAATTTGCCGACGCGAAGTAGCACGACGCGCAATTTACTATGCCACACAATTAAGTTGGATATCGATTCAGTCAAAATAGAACGCGATAATATGAAGACTTTGGCAGTGGAACGCGTCAGTCACACGCAGGCGCACCGGAAGTAATATTTTATGTATTCCATGTGTATATCTCATTATGTAAGGTATTCTAACACATATTAATCATATCTTCGACGCATCGTCTATCTTTGAATTTCAAGACGCTTATACGACAAGACTAATGTCTCTTCACTTCGAAGAGCTTCTCGTTGAAATTTTGTATTCATAATTCGCGAATATCACGTTTATTAATATTTATATTCGCGGATATTATATTTATGATGAAAACGTGAGAAATACGCATTTAATTAAGACACGTGTTGCTCTCCGTAGAAAACAATTTGGCGATTATAAATTGGTCAATCACTCACCGTCGCTGCGCAAATTTAATTGAAATATATGCACATTTTAATGGTATACAGCTTCAACAAATTTGCATTGCAGTTTGCTTTAATTTGCATTTGGAATGTGTTTCGTTGAGACAACCTGCACTTCGATTTGTACGTCACACAAACGGATTAGTTTGATTGACTTTTAACAGTATTAATCAGTCGATCGTTTCGAAATTCATCCTTTACGCATCGTTTGAGCAACCGATGCTATTCCATTGCCACTTCTAAGCAATTTGCATAAATAGCGATCTCGCAATTTAACACAATTTTTGTACCAATCACGGAGCGTATATATTATATACTTTTATTTAAGATTGACAAAACGACAAATATTCCGCATGATGCTGAAACGAGTAATGACGCTGAAAATAAAATATCAGGAGGGATGATTTACAGTAAATATTCTCAAACAAATCAAAAATTGTTACATAAAATTTACCATATAAGTGATGAGCAACAATTCAATTAAAATTGTTTAACAAATATTGAATTTATATCCTCAAGCAGCGCTTATAATAATAACTTTAATAGTACATTAAGTCAAAATAGCATTAATTTGCTACAAAGCGTATTTTTCGATAGAAGTCATTGTTTAAATACATGCAAAAACATTTTATGAGCACAATTTGGAAATGTCAATTAGTTTATTTCTCTTCATGTCTGTTTCTGAATATCTCTCCGCGTTATCAAACAAGAGAAAACAAAGAATGATATTTACCACTGCATTTATAATGACATTTTACACTCTCAGATATTTTGAAAGTCAGTATGATAATGAAGTGACATTTGAAAATTTAATATCATTACTATTAATTATGAAACAAATGTAACTTTATATTTTGTGCATTATATAGTTTTACACACCAAGAAGCAATTTTTATTCTTTATGTCGAAAAAACAAAATAAATTTTATGCAAATAAATATTATAGCATTTCCTATGTAGAATTGTCATGTAGAATTAAAAACGATTTATGTGACAAAACAATAATAATATTTATTTATTTACTGATAGCACAGAAATATACAGAAATATACTATAAATTGTGAGATAGAAAATTATGGTTTCTTCTCGACGATTAAAGTGTCAAACATATATAGACACAGCTGTTATTAAAGGTGGTAAACAATATATTTCCGGGATACGGTGCAAACAAAGCCAGCTGCTCTACAAAAACAAGGACAGATATCGCATATAAAAGGGAAGGTTAAGTAGTTTACAAGTAGTTTACAAAGCCTAGTTTGTAATTCGAGGTCGAATTCGACGATTCAATTGTGACGATAAAGATGATAAAGTTAACCTTCCTGCTCGTTATCGGCGTTATCACCGGACGTAAGCAAACAAAATTCGATAATAAAAAATCAATAACTTACATACAATCGATGTAATTAACGTATGTTTACATCACTTATTCTGTGACATTCTAAATGAGAAAAAAAAATTAATATTTAAAACAAATTAAAATAAGTAAATTTTACCACACATGTTTTTTTAAAACTGTTTTCCAATTATTTAATATATACGGAATTAATAACTAATGTATAATAATAATATTAATTACAATATGTGTAAGATTATGCAAATGTAATATATATAGGAGAACTTATATAGAGAGATATATTAATATTTTCCATTTATTTTTATATAAGTGCAGACATATCGTTCAACTATTTTAAAATAGCTCGAACGAACGTAATGTGACCAGACAAAGAAATAAATAATTGGAGACTTAATTATTATTACTTACAGAGGCGTACGGTGATGCGCCTGAAGCTATCGTGGGTGGTTTTATTGCCACGGATGGTCAATTTCCCTATCAAGCTTCCCTTCAAGTCATGAAGGAACATATTTGCGGGGGTTCTATTATCAGCTCGAAACATATTCTCACCGCTGCTCATTGCGTTGAGGAGAAATGGCAACACCGATACATGGCACGTAAATAATCGTTGCTACTGAAAAAGATTTACTTTATTACCGATTTTTTCTTAGAGAGATGATATATAATATATAATATATAATTAGAGAGATTATATATGATATATAAATATTCGCGCGATGGTAATTTTCCTTTCCGTCATCTTTTGCATATCTTCGTTTAATTTATTCTAATGTTTTTATTTAATTTGTCAACATATTTCGAGTACAGACTGTCGTAAGCGGAGCCACCAGATGGGCAGAAGGCAACAATAACCAAAGGCATACCATCAAGTGCATTCGTTTACACCCAGGTTATACTGGTGAGAAAAGTAGTGCCTGGAAGGACGATATCGCTGTTATTACTGTAAGCCTGCCATCCAGTTCTCGTTAATTGCGTGTAGAGAAGTAATATGTATGTAATGATCTGATATATTTTTTTTCTTTAGTTGAATGAGGAGATTAAATTTGACAAATGGCGAAGTCCGATTCCTCTAGCATCTCAAGATTATACTACAGGTACCTATAAAGGTATAGTTAGCGGATGGGGACAGACCAGCGTAACCTCAGACTCTTCGCCTGTACTTAAATGGCTCGCAGTGGACGTTTTGAGCAAGGTAGAGTGTTTGAAGGCGCACAGAAATCCGCAGACCAACAAGCAACAAGTGTGCAGCATATACATGAAAAATCACGGTGCCTGTTCTGTAAGTGTTTTGTATAATGATTTATGCATCTGAAAATTATCATATATATATACGTACCCCCATTGCTTGGATGAGAAAAGAATTGTGTAAATAACGAGTCAATAATTAATAATATACAATTTCTCAGGGTGACAGCGGCGGTCCTCTCGTGGTCAATAAGGAGCTTTGTGGCATTGTTTCTTGGGTTGCACTCTGCGCTTTGGGTATACCTGACGTTTACACTAATGTCTACGACTATCTGGACTTTATCAAGGACTCTCAAAGCATGTGCTGATAACCCGAATAATCACAATCGACTGGCAACTTGTATATTCAATAGATTTTTTAAAACTTTTAGCTACCACGTGTGAATCACGTCGGCATCATCATTAATGTTTTCTATAGAAATGATATGAAAACTTAAAATAGACAATAAACATTATTATTACAGGAAAAAACTGTGCATTTTTCTCTTCCCGAAGAAAGATTTTTTCGATATGATTAATATATTAAGGAACAATTGTTATTCTGTTTATCAACGAAATAAAATAACTTTTTGCGTAAATAAATGTTAAGTCATTCCCTATTTAATATAGAACTAAAGCAGATATGTGAGACAGAATAACATGACATTTATCTACTAATAGAAAAGAAGAATGTCCTCGTGAGATAAAAGCAACATCTTTTTCGCGACAGTTTAAACATCGAGCAAATGTAACCTCCACTATTATTAACAATTGACTAATTAAAATAGGTAATGTACTTATGATAATACGACACAAACAAAGCCAGCTGTTACACAAGGTTAGAGATAAATATCTCATATAAAAGTAACTGCTGAGTGGCTTAGAGTATCCAGTTTAGAATTCGTTCTAGACCTAATTCGTGAATTACGGCGATCAAGATGATGAAATTAGCCATTCTGTTCGTTGTCGGCGTTATCGTCAGACGTGAGTAAAAAAAAGTCAATTTTCAAAAATAAATATCTTACGTACGTAATGCAATTAGCGTATATTTACATTAATAATTTTATTAAACACTAAAGCAAAAATGGAAAGAAAAAAATCAATATATAAGATAAATAAAAATTTGTAAATTTTATCACATACATTTTTGAAATCTATATTTCAATAATAAATAAAAAAAGATAATATGAACAAAATTCATATATAAAAGATTAATATTATTAATATATAATATATAATATTAATTTTATAATGTGTAAAATGATGCAAATGTAACATATATATAGAAGAATATAAATACAAGAATATATATAAATACTTTCAACTATTTCATATGCAGAGTGTTTGGTAATTCATGGAATATCGCTTGTATACAGATAGAATGGGTTGAATTCAGTAAAAAAGTTCTCTACCATTTTGCAAACAACTACGCAAAATTTTGAATTATTAATAATTGAAGATGGCTATGTATAGAGGCTTCTTTAATTAATAACTCACAAATTTATGTATTATTTACAAAATGTACAGGACTTTTTTATTCGAAATGGCCTAATCTATAAGTATATGACAGATGTTATATTTAGCGACAGACATCAGTATAATGAATCTTGAACTTGTCGCAAGGTACAACAGCTGCCATATATTAATAGATTAGGCTAGTTTATCATTAATAACTCGAGATTTTGCATAGTTGTTTACAAAATGGCAGAGAACTTTTCTTCTCAGTTTAACGTATTCTACCTGTACGCAAGTGATACTCAATAAATTACGGGACACTGTATATACACGTGTACTGATATGTATGGATATTTTTTAGCTATTTCAAAGTAACTCGAATGAACAAAATGTCTCTAGACAAAATGATAAATGATTAGAGATTACTTAATTATTATCCACAGAGGCGTGCGGTGATGCACCAGAAGCTATCGTGGGTGGTAACTTCGCAAAGGAGGGTCAATTTAAACATCAAATCTCTATTCAAGTGAATAAGGAACATATTTGCGGCGGTACCATTATCAGCCCGACTCATATTGTCACCGCTGCTCATTGCGTTGATAATCCTAAATATAGGAAAGGCATGGTACGTGCATAATACCTAATTCATCTAATCAATACTTGGCATATATTGAAATCGTTGCTAGCAGAAACGATTTATGCGATTATTGATTTTTTTCTTAGAGATATAGATATAATATAGAAAAACTCGCGGCTCTAGTTTTTTTTTCCATAGTTTATATCATCAACCAATTTATCCTAATTCCTACTTAACTCATTAAAAATATTCGGTACATAGACTATTGTAACCGGAACTATTAAGTGGGCAACAGGACAAACGCATAATATCAAGTGCATTCGTATGCACCCAGGCTACACTGGTAAGAAGGAAGATGCCTGGAAGAACGATATTGCCGTTATTACTGTAAGCATGATTTTCAATTCTTGTTAAGCACATACAGAGAAGTAATGCGTGTACAATGATCTGATATACTTTCTTCTACAGTTGACACAGCCGATTACTTTTAACAACGTTCAAGGCTCGATTCCTTTAGCGTCTCGAGATTACACCGTTGGCAGCAATCGCGGTATAACTAGTGGATGGGGAAAGACCAGCGTAGACTCAAAAACTTCGCCGGCACTTAAATGGCTCGGAGTAAACATTTTGAGCGAGAAAGACTGCTTGAAAGCTCACAAAAATCCACAGACCATTAAGACTCAAATATGCACCTTGGAGAAGAAAGGACAAGGTGCCTGTTCAGTGAGTGTCTTAGCTTATGCATCTGAATATTGTCATATATACGTATACATATCTTCATACCATGAATATGAGAAAGGAATTGTGAACGTGAACGTAATTAAAAATAAACAATTTCTTAGGGTGACAGCGGCGGTCCTCTCATATTCAACGGCGAGCTCTGTGGTGTCACTTCTTGGGTAGCGCTCTGTGCTTTGGGTGTACCTGACGTATTCACTCATGTCTACCACTATACGGACTTCATCAAGGAATGTCAAAAGATGTGCTGATAATTAAAATAATCATAATCGACCTGTGACCTATAAAACAGACAATTTCTCAAGTCTTTAGTTGTCATGTTTAAAACACGTCGATACTATCATTAATTTCTTGTATAAAATTAATATAAAAGCACATAATAAACAATAAAAAATATTCAAAGTAAGCATTGTGCGTATTTTTCTTTGCGAAAAAAAGAGAGAGAGAGAAAGAGAGAGAGAGAGAGAAAGAAAGAACTGTTTTGATAAAATCAATTATTAATTAGATGACTAATGATTAAAGTTATGTTTGTTAAGTCATGTTTAACGATCGATATCTTCGTAATGTAACTACCACGCTCGAACTATTATATCAATTATCTTCGCAATTACAACGAGAGCCCATTACCCAGCGATCTAGCTCTTCCGAGCAAATAAAATTAATTTAATAATCCAAATGGATACCCGTAGATACTAGAGGAAACGACGGATTCTTCAGGTTATTCGTTATAATAAAATGGAATCGCGCTTTAACGATACGCAATAAACAATACATGAGACGTGTCTATATAGTGTGTATATAGATTCAGCAGGGACAGCAAGGAAAGTTGAGCCTGTAAGAAAATGCCAAAGCATGAGAATGGTGATGTCTGAGTTATTATCCGAAAGCACATTTAGAAAACGTGAGTTTAAAGCAGCCTTTATTCGAGTTAAGAGTTGTTAGTTTTTCTTAAGTAAGTCGTACATATCCGATCATTTTACGTATTTTTCTTCAGAAGGCAAAACGTATTTATTAAAATTAATGATTAATCTAAGGCTATTTTTATATCTCATATTTGGCGATCGACGTCTCCTTGCAATATGATTCTCTCGCTCGTTTTCCTTTAGTAGTCATAACATTCTCAATGCGGGACTCCAATGCTTCTGATAAAAGTATCATCTAATGAGCGGACTGGCATTTTGGTCTCTCTCTGAATGCCCGCTCAGAACCAGTGATGGTTCAAAGTGCATTCTCCTCCTCATATCAGGGACACCATGTAGTGGATGATTCTTTAGTAAATGATCGATTAGTTTCTCTCGACTTTTTTCTTTATCCTTTCGTCTTTGTGCTTCCAGCTAAAATGGTTGTTAATTTGTTAGTTGAAGCTGTTTACAACGAAATTGTTATTATGGTNTCTCTCTCTCTCTCTCTCTCTCTCTCTCTCTCTCTCTCTCTCTCTCCGTGTTTATTATTCTTTTTTTCCCTCTTTGTCTTTATTGATGCTCTTCCTTCCATGTTCATCTTCTTACAAAAACAAAGTAATTTTTGCAACTGATTGTTAAATCATCACCAATTTTGAATTTCGAATTTAGAATATGTAACTAAAAAATATGATGTTTAATTATTGACTGAATAGAAGAATATCCTTTAAATTATGAGTCTTTTTCTTGATGGTTGAAACATCGAGCAAATACAGGACCCGCATGTGTTATTAATAATTGCATGAGCAAACTGCATAATGTATTTCCGTATAATGCGACGCAAATGCAGCCAGCTGTTTTATAAAAAACAAGGACAAGTTCCGTGTATAAAAGAGAACGCTAAATCGTCTGTAATGTCTAGTGTTGTAATTCTTTTTGGATCAAATTCTTGAATTGGCACGATCAAGATGATGAGACTAGCTATTTTGCTCGTTGTCGGTGTTATTGCCAGACGTGAGTACAAAAAAGTCGATAATCGAAAATCAGTAACTTACACACAAATAATATAATTATACGTTTGCATTATTTATTTTATAAAACTTTAAATGAGGAAAATGGAAGAAATTAATACGTAAATTAAATATATAAATTTTATCGCAAACATTTTTAAAGTATATTTTGCTATAATTAATATAGTTAAGTTAAATAATTAATATATAGACTAAAAGATATTATGACTTCATACTTACATTTTGTACAATAATATTTTTAATAATCAATATTATAAATTTGAAACTTGTCGTTTATATTTGTCAAAATATTAATCGAATCTAAACTCAAAGTTATGAAACATTTATTACTTAGAACGTTTTTTATAAAAATGTGACGTTATTCATAAAAATATAGCAGCAATACATATTAAGTTGAAGAGAAACGGAAGTAATAATGTGGTCTCCATTAAAAGAAATGTGAAATCTTAGTTTTATTAAAAAATACAGTGTTTTGTTACAAATGTATACATACACACGAAATAAACTCTTAAGAAAAACAACAATAAATATAACGACGAATTTTTAATATAGATATTTACTTAGTCATTAGAAAATAGACACAAACTATGAAAAAGATAATTTCTATAAAACGAATAGACTTTTAAACTCAACTTAAATTATTGATTCATCGAATAAGTAGTTCGACATGAAAACTTCGAAAAAGAGGCCAATTTAAATCTATTTTAGTGTGAAGCCAAATTAGTAAAATGCCACACTTTTATTTAACTTTGCACAAATCGAAATATGTACAACAAAAAATGTAACAAACAAAACAGTCGAATGTACGTGTGATCAATGTACATATGGTCAAATGTATATACATTCGTACGATAATACGCAAATTTGAGAAGCATGAGGAAGTATGTGAAATTAAATGCAAAAATGTACTTTGGCAACGTTTCAACATGTTCAAAAGTAAAAGGGCATAATAAAATCCGACTATAATATTAGCATTATTATGTAAGGGCAAGCTACTAAACACATGATTCCATAAGTAACTATTTGAATTCGTCATGTATTAATAGCGGAAATGTTAAAGAGGGCCGTAGTACCTGTCTACAAGAACTATAATACTATTTTCTCCTCTAAACTATAATATTAATTATTACGAGTGCATCATGCAAATGTAACACATATAGAAGAATTTACGTAGAAAAATATATAGATACCTTTAGCTATTTTAAAATGGCTCGGACGAGAGAAACGTCCCCATACGAAATAATAAATGATTGCGGATTTAATTATTTTCTACAGAGACATACGGTGATGCACCAGAAGCTATCGTGGGTGGTTTCGTAGCCACGGCAGGTCAATTTCCACACCAATGCTCTCTTCGAGTTTATGGGCAACATATTTGCGGGGGTACCATTATCAGCTCTACTCATATTGTCACAGCAGCTCATTGCGTTGACAATCCTAGTTATGCGAGAAGCATGGTATGTACTTAATCGCTACTATTAAAAACAATTCACATAATTATCGATTTTTTCTTAAAGATGCATTATAAATACGACATAGAGAAATTAGCGATGATAATTTTTCTTTCTCTCGTTGTGTATCGTCATCTTATTCATTCTTATTCTTCTACTTAAATCGTTAAAATTATTCATCACGCAGACTATTGCAACCGGTACTCTTAGTTCGACATCAGGCACAATACATCAAGTCAAGGAAATTAAGATACATCCAGGCTACACTGGTGAGCAACGTACCGCCTGGAAGGACGACATCGCTGTTATTATTGTAAGCTTGGTTCCCATTTCTCGTTAAGTGCGTATAGACTAATAATACGTGTAATGACCTATTATATATTTTTCTAGTTGACAAAACCGATGACATTTAACAGTTACCAAAAACCCGTCCCTCTAGCGTCTCGAGATTATACCACTGGCACTTATCGCGGTATAACTAGTGGGTGGGGAAAGACCAGCGTAAACTCAAACATTTCACCGAACCTTAAATGGCTTGCAGTAAACATTTTGAGTAAAGTGAATTGTTTAAAAGCACACAACTATCCACAGACCAATGATAAACATATGTGCACCTTGGAGAAGCAAGGTCAAGGTGTATGCCAAGTAAGTGTTTTACTTTATTTTATGCATCTAAAAATTATCATATACACATATAAACATTATCATTTCTTTGGCTTAAGAAAAGAATTGAGCGTGATCATGTTATTAATTAGAAATATACAATTTCTCAGGGCGACAGCGGCGGTCCTCTCATAATCAATGGCGAACTTTGTGGTGTCACCTCTTGGGTCGCACCTTGTGCTTTGGGTATACCTGATGTATTCACTAATGTTTTTTACTATTTGGACTTTATCAAGCGGTGCCAACTGTATTGATAATCCGAATAATTCACAATCGACCGATAACCTATACAACAGGCGTTTTCTTGAGTCTTCATTTACCCATATGAAATATATCGATATTATCATTAATACTTTCCTTGGAAATATTATGAAAGCCGAAATTAAGCAATAAAAAATATAATTCAAAATAAACTTTGTATTCTTTTTCCTGCGGAAAAATATTTTTGATAAAAAATCAATGATGAATATAAGGCTTTTTCTTAATGTCGTCATGTTTGGCGATCGATATCCCCACAATATGATTCCCCCGCTCGATCTATTACATCTGGTTCTTTAGACTAAATATGATGAATTCATTAATTGCGCATTGGAATGGATACATGCGAATATTCGACGAAGCTGCGAATTCTTAATTTATTCGGTTGATCTACAGCGTCTTTCAAGTGTCTAGCAGCATACGAGATGCCGGCGATGTATTCGAGCAGGTAATAAAATATCAGCCATTTTTCAAATTATGTTCGCCGAACTGCCAAACGATATTTTAGTCCATTAATTGTTTATCTATGGTCAAGGAACGGTGCAAACAAAGCTAACTGTACTATAAAACAAAGGTCAGGTACCACCAGGTGTTGAAATAGAAACGCTTATTAGTCTGCAGTATCTAGTTTGTAATTCGTTCTGCATTAAATTTTAGAATTACGACGATCAAGATGATGAAGTTGGCTATTTTACTCGTCAGCGTTATCGCCAAATATGAATAAACAAAACCTGATAATTAATGACTTAAGTGCAAACAATAAAATTAACTTATGTTACATTACTTATTTTATGAAACTCTAAATGGGAAAAAGAGAAAAAAGAAAACGTGAATTAAAATATGTAAATTTTATCACACATATTTTTTAAATCTATTTTACTATTAATTAATACAGATAAGATTAATAATTAATATATAATATATATAGTAATATTAAGAAATATATTTAATCATTAACAAAAAAGAAAGTCATCCTTTAAATTATGAGATAAAAGTGACGTCTTGTTTTCGATGAAAACATTAAGCAAATACAATACAAGGTCTGCAGGTGTTATTTAACAATTGCATGGGTAATATGCACGATATACTTGATATGGCGATATGGCAACCAGCTGTTATACAAGGTCAGAGATAGGTATTTCGTATAAAAATGATCGCTAAGTGGTTTACAGTATCCAGTGTGGAATTCGTTTTGGATCCAATTCTTAAATTACAACAATCAAGATGATGAAGTTAGCTATTCTACTCGTTATCGGCGTTATTGCTAAACGTGAGTATATAAAAGTCGATAACCAAGAATCTATAGCATATATACAATATAATTAACATATATGTTTGTATTATCTATTTTACAAAACTTTAAATGAAAAAAATAGAAGAATTAATACATGAATTAAAATATATAAATTTTTTTGCACATATTTAAAAAATCTATTTTACTATAATTAATATAGGTGAGATAAATAATTAATATATAGACTAGATGGTGGTATTACAGCTCTCTATTTACTTTTTGTATAATAACTTTTTTAACAATCAATATTTTAAATCAAAAACTTAACGATTATATTCGTTAAAACATTCAATCGATTTTGCACTCAAAATTATGAAATATTTATCAATCGATTCTACACTCAAAATTATGAAATATTTATTAATTAAAACGTTATTTATAAAAATATAGCAAAATGTTGAGTTGAAGATAAACAGAGGTGGTAATGTGATCCTCTATTTAAAAAAAAATTTGTTTAACTTTAGTTTAATTTAAAAAAATTGTATTTTGTCACTAATTTATACATTTATACGAAATAAATACTCTTAAAAAGAACAACTATAAATATAACGATGAATTTTTAATGTAAATACTGACTTATTTGTTAAAAAGTAGATATAAACAGTCAAAAGAATTATTTCTATAAAACAATTTAATTTGAATTATTGACTCATCGAATAAATACTTCGACATGAAAAACTCGAAAAAGAGGTCATAATAAATCTATTTTAGTGGGAGAGAGGGTGGGGCGAAATGAGCAAAATGCCTTATTATTACTTAATTTTGCATAACACAAAATATGTACAGCAAAATAAAATGTTTAATAACGAACAAAACATTCGAATGTATATATATTCGTTTAAAAATAATGAGGAAATATGTGTAATTAAATACTAAAATGTATTTTGAATGTTTTACAGTGCTCGAAAGTAATAAAGCATTATAAAGTATTGATAACAAATGCCGGCTTTTGTATTTGACATATTAGCAGTACTGCGTAAGGGCGAGCTACTAAACAAATAATTTAATAAGTAACTGCTTGAATTCGTCACTTATTAACAACGGAGATATTAAGGAGAGCCATAATACCTACCTATAAGAGTTATAAAACTAATATATAGTATTAATTATTACGTGTATGTATCGTATAAATGTAATATAGAAGAATATATAGATAACTTTAATTATTTTAAAATGCCTCGGACGTGCGAAACATCTCCATACGAAATAATAAATGATTGCGGATTTAATTATTTTCTACAGAGACATATGGTGATGCACCAGAAGCTATCGTGGGTGGTTTCGTAGCCACGGCAGGTCAATTTCCACACCAATGCTCTCTTCGAGTTTATGGGGAACATATTTGCGGGGGTACCATTATCAGCTCTACTCATATTGTCACAGCAGCTCATTGCGTTGAGGAGAAATGGGAACACCCATACATGGTACGTAAATAATCGATGCTACTGAAAAAAGATTTAATTCATCACCGATTTTTTCTTAAAGATGCATTATAAATATGACATAGAGAAATTAGCGATGATAATTTTTCTTTTCCCCGTTGTGTATCGTCATCTTATTCATTCTTATTCTTCTACTTAAATCGTTAAAATTATTCATCACGCAGACTGTTGCAACCGGTACTCTTAGTTCGACATCAGGCACAATACATCAGATCAAGGAAATTATGATACATCCAGGCTACACTGGTGAGCAACGTACCGCCTGGAAGGACGACATCGCTGTTATTATTGTAAGCTCCCAATTCTTGTTAAGCGTATAGGATGAATAATACGTGTAGTGATCTATTATATATTTTTCTAGTTGACAAAACCGATGACATTTAACAGTTACCAAAAACCAGTCCCTCTAGCGTCTCGAGATTATACCACTGGCACCTATCGCGGTATAACTAGTGGATGGGGAAAGACCAGCGTAAAGTCAGATGTTGCGCCGTACCTTAAATGGCTTGGAGTAAACATTTTGAGTAAAGTGGATTGTACGAAAGCACACAGATATCCACAGACCAATGATAAACAAATGTGCACCTTGAAGATGAAAGGTCATGGTGTCTGTCAAGTAAGTGTTTCACTTTATTTTATGCATCTGAAAGTTATCATACACACATATAAACATTATCATTTCTTTGGCTTAAGAAAAGAATTGAGCGTGATCATGTTATTAATTAGAAATATACAATTTCTCAGGGCGACAGCGGCGGTCCTCTCATAGCCAATGGCGAACTTTGTGGTGTCACCTCTTGGGTCGCACCTTGTGCTTTGGGTATTCCTGATGTATTCACTAATGTTTACTTCTATAAGGACTTCATCAAGCAGTGCCAACTGTATTGATAATCCGAATAATTCACAATCGACCGATAACCTATACAACAGGCGTTTTCTTGAGTCTTCATTTACCCATATGAAATATATCGATATTATCATTAATACTTTCCTTGTAAATATTATGAAAGCCGGAATTAAGCAATAAAAAATATAATTCAAAATAAACTTTGTATTCTTTTTCCTGCGGAAAAATATTTTTGATAAAAAATCAATGATGAATATAAGGCTTTTTCTTAATGTCGTCATGTTTGGCGATTGATTTCTCCACAATATGATTCCTTCACTCGACTTATTAAATGGATATCCTCACGCAATGAGCACTCATTATCCGGCAATCTAGACTTTGTCACCTCTTAGATCGCGCTTTGCGCTTTGGACATACGCTATATTCACTAATGCATACTACTATAAGGACTTCAACAAGGATTGTCAAAGTAGATGCTGATAACCCGAATAATCACAACTGGCAACCCAGATTCTATACATTTTCTAAAGTTACCATGTGTGAATCACGTCGGTATCATTATTAATATCCTCTTTAGAAATATATGAAAGCATAAAATAAACATTAAAAAATAACAATTAAAGCAAATTTTGTACGTATTTGTTTACCTCAAGAAATACTTTTTTTTATGATATCAATGATTATTGTAAGGCTATTTTTGATAAGTCATATTTGACGATCTATTCGTCGCTGTAATGTGACTCGGTCTATTATAAAGATATCCTTACAGTTGCATTGAGCGTTTCTTAGCTGGTGATTCAGCTTTTTTGAACAAATTAAAATAAATTCAGTAGTCGCATGTGCAAATGAACACGCGCAGGTTTTCGACGAAACGGCGAATTCATGTATTCATCGGTTGATCCATAGCGTGTTACAATTCTCTTGCAGTTTACGAAATCCCGTCAGGTTACTCGAGGAGCTGATAAAATATCAGTTGTCCATTGAATAATGTTTCTCAAACTATCGGACAATATTTAATTGTTTTATAATAAATGAAGTCTTTCCGGCTTTTTATATACAGTCGCGCGAGCTGAACGAAATAATTAAGGTCTAGATTTTTTGTCACAATGAAATGGGATCGATTTTTAACGATACACGATAGTACGTATATATTTTTCTCATTGGCGGAATAATTTTCTTTTGCACGCAAATATGTTAGATTAGTGCTACGTAATCCTGTGATTGCAGTATATAAAAATATAACCCATTATTGTTTTGATTTTTGCATTGTTCTCAAACCAAATATACGCAATATTCAATTTATATGTTCAAAAAGCGCATATAATAATTTTAATGGGTTATTATATTATTTTAACATTACATTTTGCAATAATGCGTATCTTTTAATGCAATTATTGCTTAAGTGGATGTGGAAGACACTTTATATAACATGATGTTATTTGAAAATATTAATTTTCGCAACATAATATATGAAATCAAGAATTATTTACCACTTAATTTAGGAATTTTTTAAATTAAAAACTATTTTATTCGCTCTTTCGGCAAAACAAAATATTTTATGCAAATAAATATTAAACTATTCCCTATTCAATATAAAATTAAAGCAGATATATAACTAAGCAATATATTTATCTACTGAAAGTGAAATAAAGTATACTTCAAATTGTCAATTAAACAGACGTTTATATTTTCGATGATTGAAACATCGAGTAAATATATGGTTAAATGGAGTTGTTAACAATTGAATGGATAAAGTACGTAATTCTGATGTATATAATTATAAGGTGCAAACAGAGCCAGCTGTTACACAAGGTCAAAGGTAGGTATCGCGTATAAAAATGATCGATGAACGGTTTGTAGCATCCAGTTTGTAATTTGTCCTGGATTAAATTCCTGAATTATAATGGTCAAAATGTTAAAGTTGGCTATTCTGCTCATCGTCGGCGTTATTGCGAGACGTAAGTAAAAGAAACTTGATAAAAATCAAAAATTTACATACAAATAATTTTATTAGTATATGTTTTCATTATTTATTTTATGGAATTTCAAATAAGAGAGAAAAATAATATTATACAAATTGAAATATATAAATTTTATCATACATATATTTCAAATATAATTTCTTCTATAATTAACATATAATATAAAATATTAATTATTTTCTATAAGGTATACAAATATTATATATATAGAAGAACTTATATAGATAATTGTATAGATACTCATCAGCTATTTTAAATTAGTTCGAAGAAGTGAAACATCACCAGATAAAACAATAAATTATTCAATCATAAATTATTATCAACAGAGGCATACGGCGATGCACCTGAAGCTATCGTGGGTGGCAACATAGCAACGGAAGGTCAATTTCCATATCAAGTCTCTCTTCAAACGTTCAGGCTACATAATTGCGGGGGTTCCATTATTAGTGATAGACATATTGTCACCGCTGCTCATTGCGTTGATAATCGGTTTTACAACATGTTCCTGGTACGTATATAATTGTCGTAACCAGAAGTGATTTATTCGATTATCGATTTTTTCTTAGAAACACATAAATATAACATAGAAAAATTAATGACGATACTTTTTCTCTCGTTTATCCTCTTGTATCGTCTAATTCATTCTGATATTTACATTTAATTCATCAAAATCATTCTGTACATAGACTGTTGTAATCGGAACCCACAAATTGGAAAATGGCGAAAAGCACAGTGTTAAGTGTATTCGAGTGCACCCAGACTATACTGGTAAAATCGAAGACGCCTGGAAGAACGATATCGCCGTTATTACTGTAAGGTTCATTATTCTTGTTAAGTTCATAGAGAAAAGTAACGCATATGTAACGATGTGATGTATTTTTTCTCTAGTTGAAAGAGCCAATTACATTTAGCAACCTGCAAAATAAAATTCCTCTAGCGACACAAGATTACACGACTGGAAGTTATCTCGGAATAACTAGTGGATGGGGACAGACTAGCGTAGGCTCAGACCCTTCGCCGATATTGAAATGGCTTGAAGTAAACGTTTTGAGCAGTTCGGATTGTTTGAAAGCGCATAAACTTCCACCGACTAATACAAAACAAATATGCACCTTAAAGAGAGAGCACGGTGTCTGCTCAGTGAGTGTTTACCTTACTTTATGTTTCGTGTATCTGGAAATTATCACGTACACGTATACACGTATTCTCTTTTCTTCGATATGAGAAAAGAATTAGATGTAAACGAGTGATTAATTAAAAATATACAATTTCTCTTTCAAGGGTGATAGCGGCGGTCCTCTCGTGATCAACGGCGAACTTTGTGGTGTCACCTCTTGGGTCATACCTTGCGCTCGGAATATACCTGATGTATTCACTAATATCTACTACTATCTGGACTTTATCACCGAATGTCAAAGCATGTGTTGATAACCCGACCGTTGTGAATAATCACGACCAACCACCTATATTCCAAGCATTTTCTAATGTTCTTAGTTACCACATATGAGATAAGTAGATAATATCTCCCATGAAAATAAAATGAAAACATAAAATAAACAATAAAAAATATCAATCATAGTATATTTGTGCATATTTCTCTTTCATAAAAAATATTTTTTAAAAACATCAATGATTAATGTAAGGCTATTTTTAACAAGTCATATTTGACGATCTAATATGTCGCTATAATGTGACTCTCGATCTGTTATAAATATTTCTATGAGTGCATTGAGCGTTCATTCGATCCAGTTCTTTTAAGCAAACAAAATGAATTAGTATTCGCATATGTAAATAGATACGCACGGATACTCAACGAAGCAACAAATTCATAAATTGATCAGCTAATCCGTAGCGTGTTACAACTCTTTCGCAGTATACGAGATACCGTCAAGTGATTACGAAAATGATAAAAACTGCTCGGTCAAATTTTATCTGAATTTCACCCGCCTTGTCAACACTATAATTGACAAAATAAATATTCACCTTTCTGGCTGGCAATGCAAGCTGTTAAAACAGAATCTTTATCAAGAGGCGGTAAGTTCACGATCGGTTGATTGAATGCTGTTGTGACTGTTTTTACAATCACGACTTGACCCAGTCATTCCCTGGATATGTTTCGACGATGAGCGTGCGAAGCCATTTGATTGGAAACAAGTTGAGAGTTTAAAACCGCCTCTATTCAAATTAAGAACATTCTCAGTTTTTCATAAATAAGTAATACGTCTTCGGTCACTTTACGGAAATGAATCTTGACTGAGATTTTACTCCAATCTCCTATTTCCCGCCAAAAAACGGAATGGAGATTTTATTCCAATCTCCTATTTCCCGCCAAGGAACAGAATGTGGGTTGCATTATTGTTATAGAACAGAAAAAAGCAAAGAATGATATTTATCACAATATTTATGTCATAGATCCTCAGATATTTTGATGATCAGACTAATAATAAGTACAGCGATGCATATTTTAATTTAATACTACTATTATAAATTACAAAATCATAAAATTATTATAAATTATAAAATAAAAATAACTTTTTGTTTTATGAGTTATGTAGTTTTATATATTAAGAAGCAATTTTTATTTTCTTTCCCGACAAAACAAAATAATTTGTGCAAATAAATGTTATATATATTTTAATTTGCACTTTAATTTAATGTACTATTCTCTTTATAACTTTATAATAACTTTTTGTTTTATGAGTTATGTAGTTTTAAATATTAAGAAGCAATTTTTATTTTCTTTCCCGACAAAACAAAATAATTTGTGCAAATAAGTGTTATATATATTTTAATTTTCACTTTAATTTAATGTACTATTCTCTAATTAACGTAGAATTAAATTGGATATGTGACTAAGCAATATAATATTTATCTACTGATAGAAATGAAGAGTGCTTATTTTGTAAATTAAACTTAAATATTTTTCTCGACGTTTAAGTCATTGAGCAAATATAGTAGCAATAGGAGTTATTAACGGTTTGTTTGTATGGGCAAATTACGTAAATGCACTTCCACGGTGTAATACGTTGCAAACAAAGCCAGCTTTTCTGCAAGGCCAAGGATAGCTACCGCGTATAAAAGAGAACGTTTAGCGATCTACAGTGTGTAATTTGCAATAACTTTTTGTTTTATGAGTTATGTAGTTTTATATATTAAGAAGCAATTTTTATTTTCTTTCCCGACAAAACAAAATAATTTGTGCAAATAAGTGTTATATATATTTTAATTTGCACTTTAATTTAATGTACTATTCTCTAACTAACGTAGAATTAAATTGGATATGTGACTAAACAATATAATATTTATCTACTGATAGAAATGAAGAGTGCTTATTTTGTAAATTAAACTTAAATATTTTTCTCGACGTTTAAGTCATTGAGCAAATATAGTAGCAATAGGAGTTATTAACGGTTTGTTTGTATGAGCAAATTACGTAAATGCACTTCCACGGTGTAATACGTTGCAAACAAAGCCAGCTTTTCTGCAAGGCCAAGAATAGCTACCGCGTATAAAAGAGAACGTTTAGCGATCTACAGTGTGTAATTTGCAATAACTTTTTGTTTTATGAGTTATGTAGTTTTATATATTAAGAAGCAATTTTTATTTTCTTTCCCGACAAAACAAAATAATTTGTGCAAATAAGTGTTATATATATTTTAATTTGCACTTTAATTTAATGTACTATTCTCTAACTAACGTAGAATTAAATTGGATATGTGACTAAACAATATAATATTTATCTACTGATAGAAATGAAGAGTGCTTATTTTGTAAATTAAACTTAAATATTTTTCTCGACGTTTAAGTCATTGAGCAAATATAGTAGCAATAGGAGTTATTAACGGTTTGTTTGTATGGGCAAATTACGTAAATGCACTTCCACGGTGTAATACGTTGCAAACAAAGCCAGCTTTTCTGCAAGGCCAAGGATAGCTACCGCGTATAAAAGAGAACGTTTAGCGATCTACGTGTGTAATTTGCAATTCGTTCTAAATCAAGTTCCTGAACTGCAACGATCGAGATGATAAAATTAACTATTTTGCTCGTTGTCGGCGTCATCGCTAGACGTGAGTATACAAAGATCAATAATCAAAAATTAACAACTTACGTATAAACAATGTAATTAGTGTATGTTTATATTAATTATTTTACGAAATTCTAAATAAAAGTAGAAAAGAAAATTAATGTATGATGCAAATTAAAATATATCAATTTTATCACACACATATTTCAAGTATATTTTCTTCTATAATTAATATACAATATACAACATATCAAATATATATGAAATACTAGTTATTACTATGTATAAGATTATGCAAATGTTATATGTACTTATATAGAGGAAGAACTTACACAGACAATTGTATAGATACCTTTCAGCTATTGTATAATAAAATAGCTCGAATGATCGAAATGTCATAAAATGAAGTAATAAATAATTACAATCTTAATTATTATCAATAGAGGCATATGGCGATGCACCTGAAGCTATCATTGGTGGCAACGTGGCAACAAAAGGGCAATTTCCATATCAAGTCTCTCTTCAATATTTCGGACGACATATTTGCGGGGGTACCCTTATTAGTACTGAACATGTTGTCACCGCTGCTCATTGTGTTGATAAACTTCTTTTCAACAGATTACTAGTACGTACATAATTGTTGCTACTGGAAGCGATTCACTCGATTTTTTTCTTAGAAACACATTATAAATATAGTATAGAAAAATTAACAACGATAATTTGCTTTCGATCGTTTCGTGTCATCGTCTAATTCATTTTGATCTTTCTATTTAACTCGCCAAAATTATTCGGTACATAGACTGTTGTAACCGGGACCCACATATTAGGAAGTGGCGAAAGGCACAAAATTAAGTGCATTCGATTGTACCCAGGCTTTACCGGTAATATAATTGAAGACGCTGCGAAGGACGATATTGCTGTTATTACTGTAAGTCTGATTCCCTGCTCTCGTTAAGTCCCTGTTGAAAATTTCCAGATGAATTCCTATGGAAACCCATAGGAACTCATATGAATCTATACAAGATAATAAAATTTCATATAGAAATCCGCATGCATAGGAAATTCATGTACGAATCTAAATTTCTACCTATGACCTGCGTTTTTAACGCTCCATAGGCAACTATGGGATTCCATATAGATTTTCTATATAGATTTCTGGTTTTTTTCAACAAGGAGCGAAATAATACGTGTGTAACGATCTATTGTATTTTTCCTTTAGTTGCAAAAGCCGATTATATTTAACAAAGTCCAAAGTTCGATTCCTTTAGCAACACAAGATTACACAACTGGAACCTATACTGCAATAACTAGTGGATGGGGACTGACCGACTTTAAAAGTAAAATATATTTGATACTTGTGTTAAAATCGGTCCTTATCAAAATTTTTTTGTTAAACATATTAATTTTTTTGTTACACATATATTAATTTAACATATTGCATTTATGTTATCTTAATGTTTTGTGTTAAGTCGATGTTCAACATGTGTAATTACTAAAATAACATGTTTTATATTTCAACGTTAATTAACATATTATGAGTGTTAATTTTGTATTAATTTTCGACGTAATATTTGTGTTACTTTTCAACATATTCACTTTATTAAATTAACACAAGAATTTGTGTGGACCGTTTGGGACATGTAAAATATATTAAATTTAACACAAAATTTTTTACTATATAGAAAATAAATCTTCTCCGCAACTGAAATGGCTCAAAGTGAACATTTTGAGCAAATCAGACTGCTTAAACGCGCATGAAGGTATACAGATGAATTCGAAACAAATATGCGTTTTTGAAAAGAAAGGGCAAGGTGTCTGCTCAGTGAGTATTTTACCTTACTTTATACATTATGCATTTAAAAATTATCATATGCAAATATACGCATTCCCATTTCTTCAGTAAGAAAGAGACATTTGGCATGAACGAGTTATTAATTAAAAATATATAATTTCTTATAGGGTGACAGTGGCGGTCCTCTCATAGTCAATGGCGAGCTCTGTGGTATTACCTCTTGGGGTGCAGAATGCGCTTCGGGTATGCCTGATGTATTTACTAATGTCTACTGCTATTTGGACTTCATCAAGGAATGTCAAAAAACCTGCTGATAACCTGAATAATCCCGAATAGACCAACGTATATTGCGGACAATTTCTAAGTTTTTCAGTTATCGTGTATGAAATATAGCGAAATCATATTAATATCTCTAAGGAAATATTATGAAAGTATAAAAATTAATAAAAAGGAATATTATTGAAAATCAATTTTGTGTTTATTTCTCTTTCCGAAAAAAAACTTTTCGTATAAGGCCAATAATTAATCTAAGGCTATTTTTGATAAGTAATATTTGACGACCGACGTTTTCGTAATGCGTCTCTCCCTCGACTTATTACAACGACATCCTCATGATTGCAACGAGAATTTATTACACGGCGAATTTATTACTAGTTCTTTCGAGCAAATAAAATGAATTCAATGATGATATATTAGAATGGATACATGCCGATATTCGACGAAGTAATGACTTCCTAATTTGATCTAATCCGTAATGTGTACAACCCTCTCGCAATATACGAGATGTCGGCGGGCTACTTGTGAGTAGCTGATAAAATAACAGAATGTTATCGAATTATTTATCGAATTATCGAAAAAAATTGGATCCATTTAATTGTTTTCCGATAACCGAGAACTTATCTTGTTTTTTGCAAACGGTCACGCGGGATCAACAAGGTGTAGGCCCGGATAATCTATTACAATGAAATGAAATCGCTCTTTAAAAGGGAAGAGGGGAGACAAGATATTAAATAAATAAATATATATATATATATATATATGTATCTGCATATATATGTATATATCGTGGTAAACCAACTGCCATTATTCGATCACGGCATGATGTCAGCCCAAATAAGTTGGCTAACTCTTACCTATACCCGAGGGTATGCCCGCGAAAAGGAACACGTTGTATTCCAATTTTGCCAGCGACCTAGACACACCATAGGAAGTACCGTCCGCGAAAAGACACTTCGATCACGGCGCGATATTGGCTTTGACAGTTAGTCAACTTTTGCTCGCAACGTAACGTTAAACTAATGTCAAAAGTCATTGGCACTGTCACGTAACATATTTTTCTACGCGATTGAAATTTCAAGCAAATATAAAGTAACCTACACGTGTTATTAACAAGTGCATGAGTAAACCACGAAATGTACCTCCAGTATAACACACTCCAAACAAAGCCAGCTGTATTACAAGGTCAAAGACAGGTAATGTGTATAAAAAGAAATGCTGCGTAGCTGCAATGTTTAGTTTGCAATTCATTTTGGATGAAATTCTTGAATTGTGACTATCAAGATAATGAAGGTAGCTATTTTGCTCATCATTGGCGTTGTCACCGGACGTGAGTAAATAAAATTTGTCAATCAAATATCTCTCATACTCTCTTTCTCTCTTTCTCTCTCAATAACTTGCGTATATGTAAGTAATTAGCATATGGTTACATTATTTATTTTACAAAATTCTGAGAAAATTAGAGAGAGAGAGAGGGAGAGAGAGAGAGAGAGAGAGAGAGAGAGAGAAAATTAATACACAACATAAACCAAAATATGGATAAACCAAAATATGGAAATATTTTGTCACGCACTTCTTTTTTTAATTCAATGTCCAAAATTCCAACAGATAAGATTAATAATTAATATATAATATAAAGTAAAGTTAATTATTATGTGTAAGATTGTGCAAAAAAATGCAACATGTATCAAAACTTATATGGAAACTTAAATAGAACGTAAAAAAACTTATGTAGAAGAATGTATAAGATATCTTTTTAGCTATTTTAAAATGGCTGAGACAAACGAAACATTTCCAGACAAAGTGATAAATGATTACGGACTTAATTATTACCCACAGAGACATACGGCGATGCACCTGAAGCTATCGTGGGTGGTTTTATGGCCAAGGAGGGTCAATTTCCCTATCAAGTCTCCCTTCGATCGTATGGTTCACATTATTGCGGGGGTTCTATTATTGGTGAAACTCATATTCTCACCGCTGCTCATTGTGTTGATAAACTTGCTTATACAAATGGCATGGTATGTACACGGTCAATGGTATCGGGAGCAATTATCGATTATTATCGATTTTTTCTTACAGACAAATTACAAATATAATTTCGAAAAATTAACGACAATAGTTTTCTTTTCATCATTTTGTATCGTCATCTAATTACTATCGATTATTCCACTAAACTCGCCAAAATTATTCTTTACGCAGGTTGTTGTAACCGGAACCCTCAAGTGGAGAGAAGGCGAATCGCACGGAATTAAATGCATTCGAATGCATCCAGAATACACTGGTAAGCAAGAAGATTCCTGGAAACACGATGTCGCTGTTATTACTGTAAGGATGGTTCTCTATTCTCGTTAAGTGTATGTAGAAAAGTAACGCGTGTCTAACGATCTGATATACTTTTGTCTCTAGTTAAAAAAGCCGATTATATTTAACAAGTTCCAAGGTTCAATCCCTCTAGCGACTCGTAATTATGCCACTGGTGAATATCGCGGTATAACTAGTGGATGAGGAAAGACCAGCCTAGATTCAGCCGCTTCACCGCTACTAAAATGGCTCGGAGTGAATGTTTTAAGCGAGCAAGCCTGTTTAAACAGAAGCGGATATACACTGACTCTTAAGACCCAAATATGCACCTTGGAGAGGGCAGGACAAGGTGCCTGTTCAGTGAGTGTCTTAGCTTATCTTATGCATCTGAATATTGTCATATATATGTATACGTATCTTCATACCACGAATATGAGAAAGGAATTGTGAACGTGAACGTAATTAAAAATAAACAATTTTTTAGGGTGACAGCGGCGGTCCTCTCGTAGTTAATGGTGAAGTATGTGGTATCACCTCTTGGGTCACGCAATGCGCTTGGGGTATACCTGATGTATTCACTAATGTTTATTGCTATTTGGACTTCATCAAGGAATGTCAAAAAATGTGCTGATAACCTGAATAACCCCGGATAGACTAGCAACACATATTGCGGACAATTTCTAAGTTTTTCAGTTATCGTGTATGAAATACAGCGATATCATATTAATATCTTCTAAGGAAATATTATGAAAGTATAAAAATTAACAAAAAGGAATATTATTGAAAATCGATTTTGTGTTTATTTTTCTTCCCGAGAAAAACTCTTCGTGTAAAGTCAATAATTAATCTAAGGCTATTTTTGATAAGTGATATTTGACGACCGACGTCTTCGCAATGCGTCTCTCTCTCTCTCGACTTATTACAACGACATCCTCATGATTGCAACGAGAATTTACTACACAGCGATCTAATTCTTTCGAGCAAATAAAATTAATTCAGTAATGAGATGATAGAATGGATACATGAAGATACTCGACGAAGCAGTGAATTCCTAATTTGATCCAATCCGTAATGCGTACAACCCTCTCGCAGTATACGAGATGTCAACGGGTTACTTGTGAGTAGCTGATAAAATATCAGCAGGTTGTCGAGTTGTTTATCAAATTATCGAAAAAATTGTATCCATTTAATTGTTCTCCGATAGTCGAGAACCTATCTTGTTTTTTGCAAACTGTCACGGGATCAACAAGATGGTGAAGGCCCGGATAATCTATTACAATGAAATGGAATCGCTCTTTAACGGGGAAATAAGATATTAAATAAATAAATATATATATATATATATATATATATATATATATGTATATATATCATGGTAAACCAACTGTCATTATTCAATCACGGCATGATGTCGGCCCAGATAAGTTGGCCGACTCTTACCTATACCTGAGGATACGCCCGCGAAAAGGAACGCGTTGCATTCCAATTTTGCTAGCGACATAGGCACACCATAGGAAGTACCGTCCGCGAAAAGACACTTCGATCGCGGCGCGACATTGGCTTTGACAGTTAGTCAACTCTTGCTCGCAACGTAACGTTAAACTAATGTCAAAGGTCATTGGCACTGTCACGTAACATATTTTTCTACGCAATTGAAATATCGAGCAAATATATGGTAACTCACACGTGTTATTAATAAGTTCATGAGTAAACCACCTCCAGTAATGTACCTCCAATATAACACACTCCAAACAAAGCCAGCTGTACTACAAGGTCACAGACAGATATTGTGTATAAAAAGGACTGCTGCGTAGTCTGCAATGTTTAGTTTGCAATTCGTTTTGGATGAAATTCTTGAATTGAAACGATCAAGATCATGAAACTTGCTATTCTGCTCGTTATCGGCGTTATCACTGGACGTGAGTAAATAAAACTCGATAATCGAAAATCTCAATAATTTATATGAAAGGAATGTAATAAGCGTATATTTACATTATTTATTTTACGAAATTTTTAATGAGCGATAGATAAAGAAAAGAGAGAGAGAGAGAAAGACAAAGAGAGAGAGAGAGAGAGAGTGAGAGAGAGAAAGAGAGAGAGAGAGAGAGAGAGAGAAAATTGTATATGTAATAAATCAAAATATGTAAATTTTGCCATATACATTTTTAAAATTTATTATGTAATAATTGACAAATAAGATCAATAATTAATCTATAATATAATGTATTAATTATTATATATAAGATTACGCAAGAGTGTAACTTATATAGAAAATCTTATATAAGCATATATAGAGATAATTCCCAGCTATTTTAAAATGATGCGGACGAGTAAAACGTCTTCGGACGAAGTAATAAATCTGATTACAAACTTATTACTTTTTATAATTATTACTCAGAAACATACGGTGATGCACCTGAAGCTATCGTGGGTGGCTTTATAGCCACAACGGCTCAATTTCCCTATCAAGTCTCCCTTCGACTATTTGGAAACCATAATTGCGGAGGTTCCATTATTAGTCCAACTCATATTCTCACCGCTGCTCATTGTGTTTATGCAGAGTATCATATTAGATACACGGTATGTACATAAATGTTGTTTCCAAAAACGGTTTCCTTGATTATCGATTTTTTTTTTCGAAACATATTATAAATATAATGCAGAAAAATTAGCAGCAATACTTTTTCCCCCTATCGTTTTGTATCGTCTTCTAATTATTTCTGATACTTGAACTGAATTCATCCAAATTATTCGTTACACAGGTTGTTGTAACCGGAACCCTGAAATGGGACGAAGGCGAAACGCATAAGATCAAATGTATTCGTATACACCCAGAATACACTGATAAGAAAGAAGACTCCTGGAAGCACGATATCGCTGTTATTACTGTAAGCCTGATTTCCTTTTCTCCTTAAGTGTGCATAGAGAAGTAATATATGTGTAACGATCTATTTTTTTCTAGTTGACAAAGCCGATTGTATTTAACAAATTCCAAAGTCCGATCCCTCTAGCGACTCGAAATTACGCTACTGGCGAGCATCGTGGTATAACTAGTGGATGGGGAAAGACCAGCGTAAAGGCATCAGAAGCTTCGCCGGTACTGAAATGGCTTGGAGTGAACGTTTTGAGTGAGAAAGACTGCTTGAACAGAATCGGGAAACCACCAACCATTAAGACTCAAATATGCACCTTGGAGAAGACTGGGCATGGTGCTTGTGCAGTAAGTAACCTTATGTTCAATGCATCTAAAAATTATTATATACACACATACGCAACCTCATTCTCGTGTAGAAAAAGCTACAAAAATAGAAAAAAATTACCGTTCTATTAAAAAACTATTGTTCTTCAATTGTATATCAGTAATTTTTTCGTATTCTTCTAGTTTTTTTCCGCACGAGTTCTCTAGATATAAGATGGTAATTATAAACGATTCATTAATTAAAAATATACAATTTCTTAGGGTGATAGCGGCGGTCCTCTTGTAGTCAATGGCGAAGTCTGTGGTATTACTTCTTGGGTCGCTATGTGCGCTTGGGGTGTACCTGATGTATTCACTAATGTTTTTTACTATTTGGACTTCATCAAAGAATGTCAAGCCATGTGTTGATAATCCGAATAATTATAATCGATCGGCAACCTATATTCCGTACATGTATCTATACATATGCAAAAATATAAAAAATAATATATATATATAACAGTTTATACAATAATGCATCTGATGCTCCTCGCACACTGGTTTAGCACATAATGCATAGCAATACATAGTATTTTATTTAAAAAATATTTAAAATGTCTATTTACAAAAAATCTTCATATATTTATTGAAATCAGTAAAAAAAATTATACAAAGCACCGAAAAATTTATTTTAAAAGTATTTTATTCTAGCAAAATCTACATAATATCAATATTAGAATTAGCGTCAAAAACATGTAAAATACGAAAAAATCCAAATTATCAATTTACAAAAACATTTAAATGGTTTACAATCTGGATCGCTGAGGGGGTAAACGCGTTTTCTAACTATTTTTATTAGAAAACGATTCAGCTGGATATTAGCGTTCTTACACACTTAATCTTACTGTCGTTAAATTTTTTAGGGAATATCGAACCTCGTTATCAGTTATTTTATAACTCACAATCAAACAATCGACGCTATTTCACCATCGATTATTTGGATGTAATATATTTGTCTTGACAGTCGTGATTCAAACCTGTTATTCACCGGATATGTTTCGATGATGCGCATGAGAAGTCATTTGGTTGAGGGGTGACGTTCGTCCTTGACGAGAACCGGATATCCGGTCGGAATAGAGTTTGCTTTCGATACTATCTTGAACAAATTTCTATATGACATAAATATCCAGAAAATCATCGTTGCCGGAATGATTCGACTATTTGACGCAAAAATTACTAACGCGATACACGATTTTGAGGTATATCTCATAGAGATGTGATTTAAAGAGAAATTCAGCGGTAAGAATTATGGCTATAAGAAAGTATCCAAAACTGATAGCAGCAATGTCCGTAGGATCATCCGAAAATAAATCATTTAGAAGACGCGAGTTTAAAATTACTTCTACTTAAATTAACAACGTTGCTAGTTTTTCATAGATGAGTTATGCGTCCTTGATCACTTTACGAAGATCAAACTAATTTAACCCCTTGGTCTACACGATATCTGCCAATTGCGCGAGCTGTAGTAAACAAGAAAATCGGTCGCGCGCCGTGCCATTCAACTGTTCAGCCGTGTACCCGAACTGGCGCAAAATGTATACCTTTCATGACATATATATTTCAGTGCAACGAAAGGAATTGTGAAATAATAAACAATGTTTAGGTACAAAAGTATTGGATGTGGAATAACTCCATTCGCTTGTTCGAATAATACGCGGCATCTTATGCACCAATTCCTCACCACGAGTCTGACTCGTGGCTTTTGTTTATGGCACAAATTCTTTACCACGAGTCAGACTCGTGGTTTTCGTTTATGGCACAAATTTTTCACCACGAGTCAGACTCGTGATTATAGGCCAAAGGGTTAAAGCGCATATGTGTCTAAGCAATATGATATTTATCTATTGACACAGATGAGAAGAGTATGTTTGTTGAGAATGCATTAAATTATGTGATGAAAGTTACGTCTCTTTCCGAACGGCAAAATATCGAGCAAACACCAAGTCTACAGTGACACAAGTGTTATTAACAATTGCATGGGTAAACTACGTATTGTAGTTATGTATTTTGAATGTTATATAACGCAAACAAAGCCAGCTGTTTTATAAAGCCAAGGACATATATTGCATATAAAAGAGAAAGCTGAGTGATCTACAGTGTCGAAATTAGTAATTCGTTGGATCAAGTTTCTGAATTGCGACAATCAAGATGATGAAAATAGCTGTTCTACTCGTTCTCGGCGTTATCGTCAGACGTAAGTAAATAATGTCGATAATCAAAAATCAACTTACGTATAAGCGATTCAATTAGCGTATGTTTATATTATTTATTTTACAAAATCCTAAATAAAAGAGAAAACAAGAGAAAAAATTAATATATGAAATAAATCAAAATATATAAATTTTGTCACGCACATTTTTTAAATCCATTGTCCAATAATTACAAATTAACTATTAACAAATAAAAGTAATATAATTAATTTATAATATAAAATATTATATGTAAGATTATTTGAAAATAAAACGCAACATACATATAGAAAAATGAATATAGGAAGATGCAAACATATCATTCAATTATTTCAATTAATAAATAATATAGCATTCATTATTATGTATAAGATTATACACATGAGATATACAGAATGAGGCGCTTAATTTGACCACTTTCAATTACTCGTAAACTATTTGTTATATAAAAAATGTTTCAAACAGAAATCGTATGACATTAAGAGGAATCCTTAATACCATCATACGACTTTTGTTCGAAACATTTTTTCATATAACAAACAGTTTACGCGTAATCGAAGGTAATCGCGTTAGGTGCCTCACTCTGTATATAGGAGAACTTATATAAAAGAAAGTACAGATATCTTTCTGCTATTTTAAAATAGCTCGAACGAGTGAAAAGTCTTCAGACAAAATAATAAATGATCACGGAATTAATTATTACCCACAGAGGCACATGGCGATGCACCTCAAGCTATCGTAGGTGGCCACATAGCCACTGCAGGTCAATTACCATATCAAGTTTCCCTTAAAATGTATGGAGGACATAATTGTGGGGGTACCATTATTAGTGATAGACATATTGTTACCGCTGCTCATTGTGTTGATGATCCTATGGATTATAAATATATGGTAAGAACACAATTATGTTGTTATCAGAAACGATTCATTCGATTATCGACTTTTTTATAGAGAAAATTTATTATTATTATTATTGTTATCAATATAATACAGAAAAATAGTCACAATAATATTGTTATTTCGTTCATTCTGATCCTTCTATTTAACTCGTCAAAATTATTTGTTACACAGGTTGTCGTAACCGGAACTCTCAAATGGAGAGAAGGCGAAACGCACAAGATCAAATGCATTCGTGTGCACCCAGGTTACACTGGCAAGATGGAAGATTCCTGGAAGAACGATATCGCTGTTATTACTGTAAGCCTGGTTTCTTATTCTCCTTAAGTGCGCATAGAGAAATAATGCGTGTATAACGATCTGATATATTTTTTTCTCTAGTTGGAAAAGCCGATTGTATTTAACCGATACCAAAAATCGATTCCTCTAGCGTCTCGAGATTACGCTACTGGCGAATATCGCGGTATAACTAGTGGATGGGGAAAGACTAGCGCAAAGTCATCAGAAGCTTCGCCGGTACTGAAGTGGCTCGAAGTGAACGTTTTGAGCGAGGAAAAGTGCTTGCAAAGACGCGGAAAACCATCAACTATTAAATCTCAAATATGCACCCTAGAAAGGGTTGGGCATGGTGCTTGTTCAGTAAGTATCTTACCTTATGCTTAACGCATTAAAAAATATACATATGCATATATACGTATCCTAATTTCCCCATATGAAAAAAAAATTAAGAACGTGTCATTAGTTAAATATATACTATTTCTTAGGGTGACAGCGGCGGTCCTCTCGTAATCAATGGCGAGCTCTGCGGTGTCACCTCTTGGGTCACGCTCTGCGCTTTGGGTGTACCTGACGTTTTCACTAGTATTTATCACCATTTGAGCTTCATCAAGGAAAGCCAAAGCATGTGCTGATAACCCGAATACACCCGAATCACAATCGACCGACGACACAGAATTTCTTGTATCTTCAGTTGCCACGTATGAAACACGTAGTTATTAGTAACTTCCATAGAAATGATATGAAAGCATAAAATAAATAACTAAAAATATTAGTCAAAATAAACTTTATGTCTATTTCTCTTCCTGAGGGAAACAAACTTTTATGATAAGATCAATAAATATTTTGACGGCTATTTTCGATAAGGCGTATTTGACGCGATCGACATTGCCTCAATGTAACAGCCTCTCGCTCGATCTATTGCATCGATATCCTCGTGATTGCAACGAGCGCTCATTATCCAGCGATCTAGCTCTTTCGTGCGAATAAAATGTATTCAGTGCTCGCGTGTTCGAATGGACACGCGCCGGCACTCGACGAAGCGGCGAATTCTTAATTTGATCGGCTGATCCGTAACATGTTACAACCCTCTCGCAGTATACGAGATGCCAGCGGGTTACTCGAGTAGCTGATAAAATATCAGCCGTCTGTCGAATAGTGTTTGTCGAACTGTCGAGCGATATTTTATCCGTTTAATTGTTTTTCGATAGCCGGGAGCCGGTCCGGCTTTTTGCGCACGGTCGCGCGGGGTCAACGAGATGGTGAAGGCCCGGGTTATTCGTTGGAATGGGATCGCGCTTTAACACAGGCAAGATGGTTAATACATACATATACATTTTTTTCATCGGCGGAATAATTTTTTTGCGCACAGACTGACCGGAAATTAGCCGACGCCGCGTGAAGTCCCGTGTGAATGCAGATATAAAAGTACGGCCTGACGTAGACGAACTGCAATGGCGCGTTGCCGAAGAAGAAACGTGTATCCGCCGTTATGTTGTCCTTGTTCTTTCCATAGTAATACGCCCGGCAGTTTGTCTTTGTCAGGAAAAGCCGTTTATGCTCACGTGTGTGCGGGTTATGGTGATGTATGCCTTTGCACGGTTTTATGGGACACTATAAATGCCGGAAATAAAAACGCACCGTGTAAAATACTGCTTTTGTATCGGGGTGAATACGAGCTGAAATTTTCACTGTAAACTGACGGTCCTGAAGCAGTTTTCGACAGACAGCATGTCGGACGACTTTCGCATTATGCAAGATTTCCGCCCTGATAGTATATAATAAGATTTATAAAATTAAACGGTATACGAGAGGAAGGAGCTGAACGTTCGATACGTGTGAGCGTGTAAACCGCAGGCAAGAAGCATTGGAACAGACCGAGACCTTAATAGCCCCATGGTTACTGAAAAGGACGCTAGGCAGCATCCTTCACACACTCCATCGACTCGTATTGGAAAGCGATGCTATCGATCGCTATTGTCTCCGTGTATAAAACGTCGAATGGACCGACGCGTATCCAAATTCTGACATAGTCACCCACACAATTCCGACGCAGCAGTGGGGAATGGTAAAAAAAGAAGGAAGAGAGAGAAGAGAAAAAGAAATAAAGAGAACACCGACGAGCGCACACGCGCGTCGAATATTCGCTTCCCTCGTGAGCGATTTTTTTTTCCCAAGATACGCTTACCAAGCGCCATTTTCCTCCTTCGCCAATTTCGACTTCTGTCGATCCACCTGGCTGCCGTTGTCTCGTTCATTCGATTTCGGAAATTCTCATACTGTCTCGTTTTGACGGCCGCCGGCGCAATCGCGGCGGCGAATTGCGCGACAGCTCGCCGGTCGGCCCGTTCGTTAATTGTCGCGGCGGCGAAGTTGGAAACAGCCGGGTACACGTAGTAGATGGCTGGGGCTTACCGCGCACGTATCGCGTTTAACTATGCTGCAGTGTTCCCTCTCTGTCGTGCGCACGGCGCGAAACATCGCACACGTGCGCCGAGGAAGAAAAATTGCGGGACAATGCTCGAATTCACCGCTCTCGAATGCCCGGAAGTCGCTCGATGGCTGTTCGGCGCTCGCGATTCCACGTTTTGACCGCATCCGTTAAAAATAAAGAATATAGATGATGCGACGTTTTTCTTCCTTCGTTTAATTCAGGCAACACAATTACGGGCAAACACAGAGTGCGAGTAAACAAACTCCCCCCGTCTCCACGTTGCTCCTCTGAATAAATTGCTCCAATGACTCTTCCTTATTTACACGAATTTCTATATTACGTTTTCGCGCAGCGCAATTACTGTTCAAATATTTCGGAATAATACAGTGTTCGCCGTTTAATTTTAATTGCGCGTGATTAATTGCGTGATATTGCATTAGTGTCGTAATTTGGTTCGCACGGGCGCAATTAGTTTAAAAGCTATTAAAGAAATTAAAAGTGAGCTGTGCGACCTCGATATAAATATTTCTGGCGATGTTCCGTTAATTTGTCCGCGAATTTCGAAGCGCCTCGTAAATAAAAGGTGTTTACCACGCATGTTTCGCGTTTAATGGTACATGCGTATGAACATTCTCTTTGCCGTCTACCATTTTTCAGCGTGTAGAACTAGGATGCAGTGTACACTTACAACATACGCGTCGAAAACGTATGAACCATGTACTAATTAAAAACAACAGTTTCCGAATGTAATCGAAGACTACGTATTAATGCAACCACTGCGAGTGGTCATTGTAATATCACAAAATCAATGCTTTCTCTGAATATCTCACACGCACAATCAATATAAAAAGTCGAATAAATTTTTTCTAATGATAGTGCCTCTATATCAACTCTGTGGATTAATTTGAAAATGTCCGAATGCTTAACGTTGCATCGAATATTACTCCTTAGATTATTTCATTGGATAATTGCACAGCGCACATTACACGTGTATAATATTTTTGTAATATATATTAATCCAAATACATAATGGAAATATATAGGAGGGCTTGAATACACATGGCGATGCAGTGAATAGTTCCAATTTCTCGCTTGAATAGAAAGAACGAATTCTACAAAAAGAAAAAACACCTGTGGCTGACGACATTATTGCCGACCGCATATATTTTCGCAGAATTTGCCCCCTTTATTTAAGCGAGAAATTCGAACTGTCCACTGTAAGCTCGTGTCCACTCTAGTTTCTATCCGCCGTAGCCGATAAAAAATTTGTACACCAAAAGGTTCCGGCTTTGCCAAAAATTCTAGCCGGCGAAAATATCGAGGCGGCATTACGCGAAACCTCCAAAATATGCAATATTGTGGGCATAAATCTCGTTCGAAAAAAGCGTCGATCGGGAGAGAAGCAAAGCAGGTCTGTCTTTTATATCATCATTACATTTATTGAAACAGTGTATTCACGTCGATGAATATTTTTACAATATAATATTCTATATCGCCTTTTTTCGCTCTCTTTTTTTTTTTTTAATCCTGTCCTTTTGATTCATGCTTAAGTTCCCCTATAACATGATACATTATCGATTATGAATTTTATGTACAATGCGGTCTAGTCTTACCTATTTAATGTGCAACATTCCGTAAGTATGCGAATCGCGGATATCGATTATCTAGTTTCACGAATAAGTATACCTTCTGTCTCTCTTTCTCTCTCGATATTTTTCTGTTTGATCATTCTTCGTACGCACAGGAATGTATTATTAAATCTTATAATTGAGCCACATTCGCTGTGAAAAATCACGGTGGAATTCGTGCCGAAAAAATGCCGAAACGAGAAACATCGCGAATGAATAAATTTTGATTGAATCGAATTTGATTAAACATTTTGATTCTATTAGGCGCACCGATCGCTCGATGGGGGCGATTTCGCGATCCATAAAAAAAGAGAAACGACTGGCCTTTTCATTTTGATCGATTAGTCTCTTCCGTGCTAGTGTAATTCGCAATTACGTCCAGATATACGCATTATTCGGTAATCGAGTCAAATTTTCTCGTCGCTTACATCGACAATAAATTACTGATATAACACAAAGTGTGTACGCGAAACAATGGTACCGCGACATTTCTCCGCCGATTTTAACTCCGTCAGTCTGAAGTTCCAGAAACGCTCGACGATCTCCAACAGCAGATAGATCCTAACTTGTGTTTTCCGAGCTACAACGTTATAAAAAATCTATGAGTTCTAAGATAAATCGCATCTTAATATGTTAGTCATTATGATATATTTCTTTATTCGTATTACATTATATGTCGTAATAAACCTATTATCTAATGATTTATCGCTATACCCTATATTACGTGCAATGGATTACTACGTGATCAGATCTAGGGTCTTGCTTTCTCTCTCGTATTTTCTCGTTTCGAGATAAAGGAGATTTGTATCGGAAGAATCACGGAGGAAAAACTAATCAACCATTTCATCGATCTCGTAAAATGAACAGAGAGATGAATGATTAAGCGATTCTACCGTTCGTGAAAGTAATCTGACGAAAATATGGAATTTGCGATTGAATTGATACCGAAGCCAAAAGAGATTGCTATATAATTCAACATTAATTGAGAGGAAATTGAATATTGGCTTAAATGCTATATAATTCAACATTAATTGAGAGGAAACTGAATATTGCCCTAAAATTACAAGTTTTAACAGTGAATCATGACGCTATATATACATTTATTTCGGTTTACTTGCAAAACGCAGTAAGTCCCCTTCTTCTAAAAAAAATCTCTTGCAGGTATCTAAAATATTTTGACATTTGTAGAAAAAACGCAAAAAAATTTTAAACACATGAAAAATGACATTCGCGTTTCGCGTTATAAACAATTAATCAATATACAATACAACTTAAGCACGGAGAACAGCAATTTATCAACATTTTGCAAAATAATGAATTAAATAACTCACGATGAAGAAAGGCGACTTTCTCTTTACACAATTGGTTTTGCAAAGAAACCTCTTTTGCAACTTTTATACTTACACCTCGGTCTTTCGAATCATACTTTCCGCATGTCGACATGTAATATTATCTTAGTACGTAACGAACGCTTGTGTGTTACTGATCTATTTAAACATATGTACGTATTTTTTCCATACTCACTTATCTATACACGAATTCCATCTTTAATACACTTTAACCTAACGTCCGTTGTCCGTAATCGTTGATGTCGGTTTGATTACACCTTGATTGTGACCAAAGAGTTTATTCCGACGCGTTTTGATCTTTGAAAAGAAATTACCCGACTGATAGAATTCGAACGAATTTCTGGCAGTGAAACGATGTGTTTGGAGGAGAAACATTTGATTTCGTGTAAAAATTGCATTTTGGTTATCGAATGACAAAGCAAGACACATCTCTCTCTCCCTCTCTCTCGCTCTTTCGCTCTAGCGAGTCATTCAGCATCAAGAATCACTGTTTGCAATAAACAAACAGAAATATATCGAGAATATATCTATCTACTATCCTATCTCAGTCGTCGTAACCCTCTCGTCCTTTCGCATAACAATCATCCCGTATACCTCGACCCGTAAACGCTCCCGACGATGAGAACGTATTATATTTTCACATAGAATTTTGCACGAGTTAAACCAACAACCGAACAAAGTCGAATCTGGGCAGAACTACTATAACACGCGTAAAATTCCGGAAATATACAGAAAATATTTCGATACACGCTCAAGATCAAGATCGCCGAAGCGCACACACGCAAAGATGAGAATCTCTCGAATCTCACGCCGTACATATTAATAATCAATGATACAAGCTATGTACAATATTGCCCAGACCAAACAACGGAAAACGATTGGTTGGTCACGCGACAATTCTCGCACGTGCACTGTACTGTACAACAAGGTCTCACAGCGGACCCTCTACACGTTCATTCGCGTATTACTCGCTTTATGTACAGTAATCTCAACTATTTGATAATCAGCGCGCAACTACTCTCGACGATCGTTAGATTGTAACTTCAATTCGTGTAATAATTAATCCCCGTCGAACGGATCCAGCTATCGATACTCGATATTCGATAACGCCGGGAATCGCGAGAGATCATACATTCGCACGGTATTTCCGCCTGAAGAAAGCTCAGTGTCGCTCTAGCCGTCGATGCAAGCTAACGGATTCTAATAGTTCTCGCGACGAATCTCCCGCGAGGTGAGCGGTTTTCCTCGCGAAAGGGAGCCCCCGTGCGCCCGAGTGCATTCGTTGAAAGCCGATTCGTTGAGACGACATTTAGCACGCCGATTTAGTGATACAAAAAGCGCAGGAGTGCGGGAGAGTTTCCTTTTGCGGGCGACTACCTTCGCGGTATTTCTCGGACTCGTGTCAAGAGTATCGCGAATATCATCTCGACGTTTTACGCCGAGACACGTTTCGCACGCGACACAGGTTTTCCTTTACAAAAGAAAAGGCGGGCATGAGAAGGATTTCTATTTCAGTTATCTTTGGTGGTTTCTTTTTCGGTTAAAAACGTACGTGTTAAGGATCGTCCGCCTCGTCACTGCGTCCCTCACACAGCTTGGTCCACTGCACTTCGTCCGCATTGTGATTCTCTCGTCGTCACTCCGGAGCACTCGACGAAACGAATACGCACCGCGTGTGACAGCAACACGCGGAAGCGAAACCGATCTGTCGCGGTTGGCCGAGCAATTTTTCCCGTTTTTTTTTTTTGTTATTTTCGTTTCAAGCGCGTTCCGTGCCGATATTCGCGACAGTGAGTCGTCGCGCGCACTTTAAGCGTCGTCCCGACCGTGGTGGTGTAACGTTTGACTTTCTTTTCTTATTTATTTTCTCTTTAGGATGCGCGATTCACAAGACGGCTGCTCACCTTAGCAGATTCGCGACTACGAGGGTGATGCTAGCGAGTAGTATGGTCGGGGCCACTCCGCAGCTGCCGCCATGCTGCATCGCCGCCGGATGCTCGCCTGCAGCAGAAATGTGCAAACCGTAATTTAGTCAATCTTCCCTCGGTTATTTGGAGAATCTCTTCTCCAGAGATTTAGAATCTTTAATTACGCCGAAGGCGTAAAGCGTCCACCTTGAGACATCTCGTTGAGAATTAATACGAGCATTATTCGCTCAGACAGATGAAAGAGATTAACCGGAATATCTTTTCTCTCTTTCTACGCGCCTCGCCGTTGTCGCACAGCGATAAATAGGCAGATAATTCGACAGTTTTGAGCGACGGAAGCAGTGGAGAAAATTATCGGTGTGAGCGTTGGAACAAATTCCATTACTGCGGTGTAGCTAATCCTAAATAAACCACGTCAGACTCGTTACATTGAATATTATCTTAGAGTAGCTACATAACGCAGGAGTTTAATTGCGCGGCCCTAATTAGATTCACAATGTAGGTTAATCGCTCGTATAACGCGTTAAACGCTAAGCAGGAACTTTCTAGCCTAACGGCAATCTCGCAGCTAGCTCCTGGATGAAATAACCGGGAAAATAAAATGCAATGAAGCGAGCGCTTGCATTTTCCTCTAAAATGAACCTTCAAAGTATTCACACGTGGTTGCAACAAACAGCCCCGGTCAACATGTATTATGACGAAGTTTAGGACGCAGCGTGTGTTTTGAATTTATAAATATTTGTACATGAGAATATTTCGTAAGCCGCGAACTCTCTTTCTTTATCATCTTTTATCGTATCAGAAAAATCCCAACGTGAGTCGACGCTGCTTATTTCTCGGTGCCACCCAGTGTTTACGTTGCGGAGATTGTATATCCCGACAGTATGAAAGTATCAATGAGAAATCACGAATACCGCGAAATGTAATGTATGACATTAATATACATTAATAATATATATTATACATTAATGATATATACATTTTGATATACATTGATGCATTAATACGTTAACCATGCATTAATATTAATATTATACGTTATTAGAGAACGTTAAATAGTGGGAACGATGCTCTGAAGCACAGGCTGCGCCCGTAAATATTCTCAATTGTAGGTCTCGGGAATAATAAAATGCGTAAGTACACAACGACCAAGCGATAGATAGTCCGCGACGCGAAAGTGAATACCTCGGGAGACGCGCGCGTTATTCCCGGCGTTTCTGAAATCCCCGACATTTCTGATCGGAGCGTGCATAAGACGCGTAGAATTGTTTCGATCGAAATGATTAATGAATAAATTATTTCTAAATTGTTTCCTTTGAAATGTATAATTCTTACAAAACGTGGACTTAGCTTGCCGACAAAGTATAATTGCCCGCGAAATAAGATATTTTCTTGTCTCTCTCGGTCAAAAGAAATTTTCGGTTCGTTATTGTTTGCGTACGAATTGCGAGTAACTTTTAAAATATTAGACTGTTTATCGCGTATTTTTCGCGACATCGTTAAGTGCCGTTAAAATCATCGCTGTCGCGGGTGCAGTGAAGTGAGCGAAGTACAATTGATGCGGGACAACAGCTGGACGTTACGGAGGCTGAAGACTGTACGAATGGACTTCCCGGCATTTCGGTGAGTGAGAAAAATGGGTATCAACTCAGTGAAAGGCGGTTTCTCCGTGACGGGTGTTTGCTGGATCTCATCAATCAATCGCGCTCGCTCGTAACGTCTCTTATCAAACCCTAAAGCATTTTTACAAATTAAAGAAATCTGAGAGTGAGGAGGGGATTTTTCACGGGGAAAAATCGTCAAAAATGACATCACTCGCAGCGTCTGTTTGACAATCTTGCGACGATATGGCGCGCGATAGATCCGTATAAACGACTTCCGCACGTAGCCGTAACGGTTTGCGCCCGGGAAATCCGTTTAACGCACGCAAGGTGCGCCAGCCGGGGTATAAAACACGACGCGAGTCGAAACGAAATATCGCTCTGTTTGGCAATAACAGCAGCTCCGTCGGGCGCTCGGCAAAACAACAATTTCGCGCGCTCAACTACGACACCGTGCGGTATCGCCGTCGCGCGCGCGCACATTCGGCGGCAATAAAGATAATCACGAATCCGGCGGTCGCGGTAACCGTTCCCCGGCGAAAGGCCGCAATTTACGAGCAAATTGAAAATCTCATTCGGCAAAGTTACCGCCGCTTACCTGGACCGGTTACCGAAAAATGACCCGATGCGCCGACGGCGGCGGCAACGACGATATGGCTACGTCGGCGGCGCACGGTCAACACGCGTAATTGCGTTAATGCGCAGATAGTACGTGCCGGAACGGATAGCCCCGGGGTCGCGTACCGGTTTATCGGGAAATAATTGAAATTTGCGGTCAATTTTGCAGAGTAATCAGCTGTGTTTGAAATAACGTCGATGGCCAATGCGCCGACCGCCGACCGGCGCGCCTTGTAAATTAATTATGCAGACGAACTGCGCCGCATTAATTTTCATCCGGCACCGGAAGCGGCCGCGAGCGAACGCGCGCGTTCATCGGGCGTTTCCGTACGAAAGTGGGCGCGCGATCGATGTCTCGATGACCCGGGGAGAGGGAGATGGTGGAAAGCGCGGAAAGGGGCGAACGTCGAAGAAAGCTTGTTAAGTTCTGCAATTCGATTGCCGTGCAAACGCTCCGCGTGGCGGCCATTCCGTAGCCCGGGGCTCGCCGAAGGGGTTTGTTGACTTTTGCCGGCCGACGTGGGCTGCTTGAATCCGAAAACATTAATTTAATCGGGCCCGGCGAGCAGGAGAGAGAGAGAGAGAGAGAGGAGGTAGTGTTGTAAATTTATTGCGTCGGTCGGGGATGCACGTAGCGTCAGTGTCGGATGCAGCGAAACGAAAGTAGCGAAATATCGCGCGCGCGCGCGTACTTTTTTTCCTTTTTTTTACCGAATAGTCAATAGGTTCTACCAAGTTACACGCACGCGTGCACACACACGCACAAATATGCATACGCATCGGTCCGAGGCTATTCACCATTTGCCCGGTGATCGCGCGTATGTCTCGTCCTTGTTGAAAAATTGCCGACAATGGCGTCCTGTGTCTTTGTTAAAAATCGATCTCGATTATACCGCGGGAGGGACGTGCGCAAGTAGTCGACTTGGAACAGCTGCAGCCGCACGAGTTTCCACGAGACGCGTGCCAGGGCAGCGAGCTCGCGATGATTGACAGCTCGGATTGGTGAACTTGCCGAACAAGATATTACATGTGTTATCGTGAACGCTACCGGCTGACAATAGATCAAAAGCGAGAGTATACGTGCGGCGCCGCGAGTACTTGCCGCGACTCCAATATACGAGCCTGTCAAACTTTATGACGGCGGATTTCGATACTTGATGAATGAACGGGCGCGCCGTCCCTTTCGAATGTCACACTTCAGGAGGCTGACTTCCTGTCGCTAAACTTGTGTCGCGCTCGCGACTATGTGAGCGTTTATCGATGCGAAATTTGTCAGCGGCGCGCGCCGGCACAATCCAAAAGCCGTTGGAACATTTTGCCACTCTCTGTGAAGAGCCGCTATTCAGCAGATTTCTTTGAAAGGATCTGCCGACAATGAGCAGGATGACGCGTGGAATTTCTAAATTCCGTTTCTACGGAAAGAAGCGGCCGGCATCGCTAAGTGCAACCCCTCGTAGAGCCGTCCTTAGCGATAATGAGATGCGGCGCGTTAAAAAGCGAATATTTGGATGTTACGAGTTTATGATAATCGATTAAACGCGAAAGAAAGGGTGCCTTATAACTACCTGAATAGAAATGTAACCAGAGTTGAAAGCAATAATAACTAGCTGGAACATGCTAGATTAAATTTTCTAGCTCGTTACTGGCTGATTATTCGCTAGGATCAGTTTTGTGATTTACACGGTGAAAAATCATTTTGCTGTTGTTTGCATCCACGAGGTTTAATTGATGTTAGAGTGACGTGAACAGGCCGATCTCGCAAGAACATATTTTTTCGGAGATCTCTTCTCTTGAATAACAGTAGCAACGTGTATTTTTGTTTTGCAAATAAAGCACGGTTATTATTTTCCCTATTAATATGATATAACAAATGAATGAGAGAGCCGAGTTAGCATACTGCAATAATATATCAACTAATTACTGTATAATTACGCGAGTACTGTACTCCAAATATACACCTTCGCGAGTAAAGCAGATGGATCGGGACGCGAAAATGGATTACAAACATTCGTAATATCCATCTATTTTCCTCTATAAAAAAGTACACAAAAAATGAGAAAGAAGCCGAAATAAATAGTTTAAATCACTGAAACACAGAATTGCACTCGATTCGCGGAGAAGTTGGTACGCACGCGCCGAAAATAAAGCTTGAGGAAGGAGAACACACGCGACAACGTGTGTTATTTTATTAACATCGCCTTACGCATTCGTTTTTATTTCTTTCCGCGCGACTCGCGCGAATAGCACCGAAGCGAACGCGCCACGCGGATCGTATCATCTCTAATCGAGACAAGCTGTAAATTCTAATCGAATTGCGCGGATGCGTCGGTGGACGTGAAAACGCGGTATTACAAGCATGCCGACGCGGAAATGTTTATACGCCGGTGCTCGGCGATTTTTCCGCATGCGATGTCTCTCGAGTGTGCATGTGCACGCGACGTTTATCGAAGAGCGTGCACCTGACGCAGCGGCTCGAATCAACTCGCGCGTACTTCTTCGTCGCGAAAAAAAAGAAGCCGTCCGTCTCGCAGTACGCGCGCGCGCGAGAGGGAAAAAAGTACGACGGTATCGACGCACGTGGTAAAAAAGCATTTTCTATTCATGGTAAAGTCGATCCTTGTTTAAATATTTCTTGTAAATTTCTAATACGCCCTGGGCGTCAATGTTATCTCCACATTTTGTGATATTCAACATGTGCGAATGTTAAATAACACATACTTCAAAATCTATCGATTAATACATTGTGGATATTATATAATTTTGTATTAATTTTTGATATATTCAATAATATTTCCGTTACTTTTCAACATATTCACCTTTTGTTAAACTAATCCGAAAATTTGGGCCGTGTGAAATGTTATTAAATTTAACATAATGTCTTTTTATTGCGTACATCGGAGTCGGAATACGGGAGCAATGAGGATTCTACGCGCGCAATTGATGCGAATAAATCAAAGGGATTGTAAAGGACGCGTAAATGGTGATCTGACGATACCGCGGCGACGGAGAAGCAATTACCGTAGCGGTTATTCAATAATGTTCCACCGATACGTTACAGATAAAACGTTCGCAGTTTCGCGCGTCTCGCGTTACCTCGGTTACTTCGTTTACATAGGTGAATCGCATTATAGCGCGGAACGCGTGAACTTGTCTCCGACTTTGCTTATCAAGCGAGAGAGTCTCCGCGCTTGCAAACGGGCATGTCTCTCGTGTTTGCTGAATGGAAACTAATTGATCTTTAAAGCGCCAAACTTCCGATTTAGACGGTCGCAGTTTCCCGCACTGCAGCGACGTAATTTAATCCGCGCCGTGTCACCCATTGCCATTCGCGGGGGCGATATAACGCGGCGAAAAGGAAAAGAGAGGAAAGAGGGAAGAAAACAAACGGAATATCGGACAAAACTGGCGTGTGTGAGAAAGTAAACGATATCCCGCTCAGTCTCGTTCGCGTCTCGTCGCTCGGGCTTCCGTTGAAAATTTCGTAAATTATCACGGCGCGCGGGAAACCGGCTCGGCAGATAATGTGATATATGGAAGTTCTCGGACGGCGGGGGTTATCTGGAAATTTTAACCGTGGATATATATATATATATATATATTCGGACATTTCCATCGCGATATGTCATTAAAGCAGCCCCCGAGTATCCGAATATCCGGATGCTTCCGCCGGCGTTCGTCGTGAGGGATGATGGGCCGCCGGATAAGTCCGAGCCGCAAAAAAATCGCTTACCATTCAGCACGTGGACCATTACGCTCGCTGGGTTCGCGTTGCTAGGGATGCAGGTGTAATTTCCGCTGTCGGTCAATCTGGCCTGTGTCACCAGTAGTCTGCTCGTTGTGCCGCTTTCCGTTTTCTCGGTCTCCAGGGAAACCCCGCCCCTGCGGTGAACACTGAATTATCGCAGATACTTTGGCGCCGTTCTCGTCACACACGTTGCTACTTTATCATTAGTTCTATCACTCTCTTTCCCTCTCTCTCTTGCTACGCAGACAGGCGAGGCTTAGGCGGCGACAAAATTCCCGTAACAAGCGAGGCGCGCAGTTACAACACCGCGATCGTCGCACCGTCGCGTTTGTTGACGGATACGGGAGCGCGCGCAGGGTAAATAAAAAAATTTATTCGCACCAGGTGCCTTTCCGTAAAATTGATGTATGGCGTGCGCGCCAAAGACGCGAAAAATTGCGATCGCGCGTCGCTAAAACAAACTCGCCTCGCGTGATGTTTTTATTTATGACGCTGACGCAACTAACTACGAGTGACGTTGTATTAATCTTTGGCAATGTGAGTGGCGCGCTTTTTCGCCATCGCCCCAGAGAGGGAGGGAGAGAGAAGCAAGAGTGAATATAAGCTATTTTTGTCCGACGCGAAGTTATATCCGAACTAATTCCGGGCAAAATTGCCGGATCAAAGTTCGCCCGCTTTTTCGACTCTCGACGCTCTTCTCCCTTCGCGAATTGACGGAAGGATTAAAGGTGAGATACCCGGACGCTTTCCGCTCGATCGGCGATATCGTTGAGTGGCGACCCGAAAAATCAACCATGAAGCTTCCTCCGCGCGCGTTTGCCGAGGCGGAAGGTGCACGCGAAACATCGTCGAGATTCGTCGACCGGTTATACGCGACGGTAACGACGGTGCATTCGCGATCGAACGGAAACGTGTGTACATGCAGAAAGAAGGGAGAGGGAAATGGGGGGGGGGAGGGAAGGAGCGAAACTGAGAACTCGATTCTCGCGGCATGTACCTGGGACTGTCGAAATCCACCACCGCTCCTCCGTGATGCCACGAAACGCTGCTGGGTGGTGTACTTTGCACATTAACGGTGCACGTGAGGCTTATCGTGCTACCCTTCTTCACATAGACGTCTTCCGGTCCCAGGATTTTCGCCTGAGCAGCTGCAACACACCGTAGAAACCGTACGCTTAAATATTCCACACTCGTATTCCACCTGCGCTAATTAACCGGCCGCGATTGATCCGGTATCGGGGTATCGAATCGCGCTTACAATATGACATTGCCGGTGAAATTTATTCGTTCACGAGGCATGAAATTTTGTAAATTTTTGTTTGTTTGATCGAGCGCAGTGCTAATAGTTCGTTTTTCCTTTTTCACTTTTTTTTTTTTTACGCATGTGTTTGACCATTTCGCGTCGGCAACAAGGCAATTACGGTGGGTCAGGTTCGGTTGAAAAATTGCCGTATTGTTTTGCACGTTAATAAGTATTTCTTTTACGATTATCTGTTTCTTATATTAAAACATCTTTGCACTTTTTCGAACGGGTTTGAAAACTTTTTCGCGCGCATAACTTATATATTCGCGATACGAAAGTTATATGTTGTATATACGTGCCGCAGAAAATGTTCGTATTATCAATTTCCGTATCACCATGTGCTTGCAAGCTGAGCGATTGACACGTTTCCGTATGATATATTTTATCTCGGGGAAAAAGCGACACGAATCTACGCGTTGGTATCGAGCCGACTAGATTATTACCTCGCGCGTCTCGATAAAGTATCCCGCCAGGTATACCAATATCATCGATCCCACTCAAGGTAAAGTTAGCTATGTCGCGAGTTTGAAGATATCGTCGATTAAATGAACCGATATAAATAACGCGTTTCCGCGACGCGAGCAGCGTGTCGAACTTTCAACTAATCCTGGAAGTCGTTTTTCACAAAGTGAAGCCGGCGATATTTCGCGAAGGAGCAATTTAGAAGTAAAACTAAAATTTATGACTTTTACGCGCAGCAGTAAATGTTTCAGATAAAAGTGGAACTTGGATGGATTGATTTATCGTAACAAAGATATGCGTTCGGTATGTACGTGACCGATTAGTAGACGGTAGTTTCCTAAAATGTATGTAGGAGAGAAAATGCATAAAAGTTATAAAATATATCAGAATTGACCGAGAAAGAGAGAGAGTGAGAGAGAGAGAGAGAGAAGGAAAGAGAAGTACCGACGATTTTCGCACGCGTTCACACCAACGACAGACGCGTTCGGTAACGTCAGTAGCTGGATACTTACTTGTTGCATGAACCTTAGCTGCAATTATCTTACGAAACACAAGAAATCATGCAAAGTCGCGTAAATAAGAGATCAACTTGCGAACACAGTCGTGAATTTTCTAAAAACATACTACGACTCTTCTATCGGTTATATAGGCGTGCCCTACCGTCGATTAAGTAGCTCTAACTGTAAACAGCGAGAATCTACGAATCTAAATAAGTTGAGGCCGCCCAGCTGTTGCCCCGTCGGAGATTTTCGAATTTTCGCCATTTGCGAAAGCCATTCGCGCGCGCCTACGCTGAACGCTTAACGCACGCGGACTACATTTACGACTGGCAATATTACGGCGGAAAATTAGCGCGCGTTAGCGTCAGCTGTATTTTCAAAGAAATATTTGCCGATAGTCCCGGGCATTTCACGTAACGACGCCCGAACGAACGAACGAAGAGCGCCGCGTCGCGCCGTTTCACTCTTCTCACGCTACGACCTCAACTCATTGGCGAACGAAAGCCACCGGGCTCGGCCGTTAATTTGCGTTATACTATATATATATATATATAGATAGAAAGCGTCCATGCACTCTGTTATGGCACGTAACTACACAACGCAATAAAACTTCTAGCCGCTAGCAAATTCAACAGCTTGGAAAAGGAGTCTGCTCTTGCGTGAGTCTAACCTGAGTTGAACGTCCGGTGAATGGCGTTCGGTGTGGTGGTGGCAGGGACAGGGGCACTTTCTGGAATGGGAGGACAGAAAAGATATCGAGTTAATCGATTTCGCCGAGATCTATTGTTTCGGGGCTGGGAATTGAACTAACGTCGAAAGCACTATCGGTATATATGGACCGTGTATACCTGCAGAATTTCGAGCGGAAAGGATATCGTCAACGAGGTCGTTTATTGCTCTCTTATTCGTTTATCAGCCGTACATCGTGGACATAACGAAGTTTTCGATCGCCACTTTAATATTTCGGGCACCCGTCTTTATGGATGCTCAAGCGACGTTTGCGAGGCCGAATATCAGAGACACTCGCGCGTGTCTCCGAACTCTAAAGAAATTAGTGCGGGCAATGTGTGTCGGAGGAGTGGACTGTCTGAAATATAAATCGTCGTCGGCAGACACGATAGATGTATCGGCGCACTTAGACGCAGGCTTGTCGACGTTGCTATGTATTCGCATAGATTGATCACGCTAAAAAGGAAACGCAATGTTAGCGACAAAAAAGAATAGCATTACTTCCTAACGAAGGCACGTGGCACTCTATGAAACATCGTAAGCGTTTGTACTAGACTCGGGACATTAGAACTTTCGCTCTGACACTAATTCGTATTAATTTGTCTAAATACAAGCGATAAGCACTTGCAATGCAGGTATGAATTTTCCACGATCGAATCCAAGGGATTATACGGCGGCGAAGAAAATTACTCCTATCGCGAAACGACAATACCACATAACCCAGATTAGCCTAATTGCAGGGCAGATAATTACGATGACTATCAACCCTCCCTCTAGCTAACTAATTGTTGAATGGAAAATTATGACGGCTATCAACCCTTAGTCGAATGCAGCTACTTCATAGATGCTAATATTTATATTACGTGTTACGACGGACCGTAATTCCCGTGTGGGACTTTAATATCGGAAAACGCACCAAAGCAAGTCCATCGGATGAAGACATTTTTAATCCTGTCGAGGCATCCTCATTTGCATTAACGAGCGTATATAGACACGCGTCAAAGGACGAAATCGACTTCGCGCTAATGATCAAAGTAACTGTGATATTATGCGACCAAAAGATGCGTCAAAGCTAGTTGATATCTTAAGATATTTCTCATGTGACAGGCATGCAAGCAAAAGCTAATCACTTTGCTCATGCTGGTGCGTGTTTAGGTATCCAGCGGTGTCTTTCCTGATCAGTCAGGTGATAGACACTTATAAAAAGCGTTCGGATATATATTCCTTCATCTATTATAAATTACGCAAAATATTTACAGCGGCATAGAGTCATTAAATGAGAGATCTAGCTTAACCCTTTCACAGTGTTCGCTTGATTGAATCGTCGTACCGCCGGTTTAACGTGGAAACCGAAAACGATACTTAACGATCGCGTAATAATCAAATAGATTATCATTGATTATTAAATTACACGATGCAACTAAGCGCGCTGGAATAAAAATAGAATAAGAGACACTTTCGGTAAAATATATTTTTCAAGTGTGCGCCTAATACCGTGCGTGAGACAAGATTCATTCGATGCGTTTCCTTTTCTCTTTGTTTGACTAAGCGGTTCCATGAAAGGGTTATCTGGCAGATTTCTAAGTACTTTATAACCCTGATGTTACCTTCGACTTTTAACATGAAGGCTAAGTTCATTTTGGGCTCGGTGTTAACCTGGCATTCGTAAACCCCGGCGTCCCGCGATTGGACGTACTCGATCCGCAACGTCCACTCGTCGGATGGCTCGGGATGCAGAACGGAAAATCTCCCATCTCCCGTGTAAACGTGGATCGATGACGTCAAGATATGCAAATCCCTCTTACGTATCCAGGAGACCTGCAAGCAAAGTAAATGGCGGGTTAAATTCCGCCCGACCGAAATCCGGCCATCGATTTGCCGATCCGAATAATTAATACGGACGATTTAGCCTAATTGCAACTGATTATTCTCTCCCCGTAAGAGTTACTCCTCGGGACTGGGTGGATAATGCGTCGCGTTACGCCGAGACTCCGCTATAATTTTATATGCTAGCCCGCGGATATTTCCGGGACGTATGCCTCGGGACGGAGTGACCGCACGAACGATCGGCCGACCCCAATTCATCAAATGATGGCAATTAGTCAGTAGTGCGATTAATCGACTCTCGGTTAATCGGTAGCCAACTATCCATTTATTTGATCAATCATGTCGTCCGTCATTAACCCTTGTACTGCCGGCTGATTCGCTTTAAAAAGCGATGTTCGCTTCCGGTCGTTTCAGCTGTCACCCTATTGTTGCCGGAAATATTTCGAATACAACAATGACTTCGGTGGACGTTCCTGCGTGTGATGCATCGATGGTCGGCTCAACTGCCCATTGTCGCGACGCGCGCGTAATGTGTAACATTTCGTCCACATAAACGTTAAATATTGTCACTTCGCGTTCGCGTATATAAATATTCCGTCCGTCCTTCCGCTCGATCGATCGATCGCCGCCGATTGTTGGCATGGCCGCGCGCGCTGATAAGTGAATTACCGCATCGTTGTATCAAAATTTCAATGTAATCTGAAATTAGTTACAGCTTGGTACGTACATATACATGCGCGTCGCGGCGTGTATGGCATTACAAACAAGGTATTAAATTTCCGCGGTTTACAATACCGCCTATTAATCGCGGCAATAAACGGATTTCCCCGGTTTAACTCTTCAGATTTTGCGGATTTACGATCATAATTGCGGCTACGCGGAAAGATGCGAGATACACGGCGCGCCGCCGAGAATCGTCGATCGCTTCATTATGGAATAACGCGTTGTTGGAACAACGCATCGCGCCGCTCACACTTCGCCTCCAAGTTCGACAAAATTCGAGCTGTTTCAAAGTGACCGGGTCACACGAACCGTTTTATGTATTAATCTTGGCCAGTAGCCATGAACTTCTCTCGCTTCGCGACGCCTCTTAAACTTCTCGTCCACCCATCTATCTCAATCCTCCCTATTCTCGATGTCTCCCTGCGCGACTTTTTTCTCGCCCTCGCCCGCTCCACCCCCTCCCTCCGTCTCTTCTTTCGCGTATCAAATGGCGGGATAATCATCTTTATTCTGTTGAGTCGCGAATCGGCGCGTTAGCCTACGCACGAGACAGAAGGTGTTCTCGACTCGGCGAGAAAACCTCACCGTCGAGGATGATCGTGACAAAGCCCGAGTTGCGCGAATCATCCGGATCGGTATCGTTCGATCGATTGCGACATCGTATAACGATCGGATTGGAAAAAACGCATTAAGCCTCCCGCGCCCAGGGGGTGGCGCTCGAGATTACCGTTAAAGGTTGTCTCCGAGCCACCCCAACAATTATAGAAGTACGTGCCTCCGACCAGCACACCTACAAGGCATCCCCTTCCGACCTGCTATCGGAACTGGCACTCCCAACCCTAGCAATGGGGATCGTTAAACGTATGTTCTCCCCGGCTCTCTCTCTCTCTCTCTCTCTCTCACCCCCTCTCATTAATTATTCGCCGCCGCATCCTACTGGGAAGCACCTAGGATCTGGAGTGACGGGGATCTTTCCGCGCGTGAAAGGGAGACGCGCTGGATAGACGAAGTTCTGGATATTGAGCGCCTGATAAGGGTCGATCTTCCGATCTGGCGTGTACGTTAACCGAACTTGTCCCGGACGTCGCCCCCTCTCGTGTTACCAACCGCATCCGAGAGATGCTTACTCGGAAAAACTTTGCCGGGGTAGGGAACGCCTCGAAATTTCATATTCGTCCACGGTCGGGCGGCGCGCGATCGCGTTTATAACCCGTCTAATATAAAATATACGTGCACAACGTGCGCCGGGCGATATACCACAGCAAACGGTGATATTATTTAGCAAAGGAGGCACGATATACACGTGAGCAAATATCGCGTGATAGCTCCCGGAAAGTCTCCAATTAGAAACTGTGGAGAGCAGCGTTTGTTCCCGTAATAGCACTGCAAATATCCGCAGATATTACATTCCGATATTTTCCATGCCTCGAAGCGCCCAGAAACACAGCGAAATTTCGAACCATCTAAAATTGATAGCAATCGCGAAAGCCGCTCGTAATTTTCCACGAAGGTTTCAGAGTCCGAGGAAGGGAGAAATAGGGGGCTTTTAAGTATAAATTAGGAATACGCTCGCGTATCCCTTTACGTCTCTTTTATCGTTCATACCTCTCCCTTTTCCCCCTTCCTACGTTCTTAACCTGCGGTTATCGTTTCGCGCCTTTTATATCTATAGTGCACCTCCGTCGAGGAAAATTAAATATCCTCCAGCTCCTACATTCTGCCCCCGAGGGTCAGAATCCTTCGTAACTTAACCATGAGAATCTTATAGTTCCGAACTCTCCACTTTCAACTGAGATTACGTGGGCAGAGGAATGTTACGTGCTCGACGCGTTATCGCGTCATTTTAATACGATAGCAGGACAAATAAATGGATCACGTTCGGCGCGTTATTCGCCGGTGATTGTAACGATACTCTCAGTCAGGTATGAAATAAAGTCAAATGTATTTCGCAAGCTTCCAAGGATATTTGGCGCGCGCGCGCCGCTGCGTTCATTTCTAAGAAGAAAATAAGGATAAATCGATTAGTGTTTCCCGTGAACTCGCCTAGACGTAACTTCGAGGTGAAGATGCCCCAGAAATACACAGCTTCTAAACATTTCGCCATTGAAGAGTCGAACTATCTGAAATCGGATTAAAATCTTGGCGCGACACGTTCCTAAGAACAATCGGTGCAATCTACACGGGTAAGATAACCAAATTCGCGTCCCACAATTTCCGAGCGTAAGAACACCTCGTTCTTTCAGCGTAGCAGGCAAGAGAAATTACGTGGCAACAAAGGACGTTATTCGTGATGCGGCTCTGCTCTTAGAAATCAACGGGTTCCTGGTGTACGAATAGTGAAAGGGACGAACAGCATCCCCTTCTCTCTTTCCCTGTCTTTCTCAACTTTTTGCTCTCCTACATCCCACAGGAATATCTGACGAAAGAGAGGAAGAGTAAAAGAGAGAAAAATAGAGAGAGAAAAGAAGAGAGTGGAGGCTTACGACAAGCCGGGTGGTACATAAAACATCTCCAAGCGCAATTTGCCGGGCGGTAACCAGCGTAAGCGAGCTTTCAGTGCCTTTGGCCTTTCGCCGCTGCTACGAAGATTTGCCATTTTCTGCTTAGGTCAACCCAAAAGCGCTCTGGAAACACGCCTCTTTGTACGGTTATATGATCGCGCGCGCGAGCCGTTCAACGATCTCCATTTTCCTTTAATTCGCGAACGCGGATCGAAAGGGTTGTGCGCGCGTAACTGGCGCGAGCCAACGAAGGCGGATGAAATCGGGTAAAAGTTACGTTGCAATTTAGAGCGCAAGGTAGAGCGTGCTCAAAGCGTGGAAAATGGCCGAGAACTCGGCTTTTTCCGCGGGCGGGGAATATTCTATCGGTGAATTCTCGTTTAGAGTAGCGTCTTCTCGCTGGCATCTATGATACCGCTTTGTCGATCACGGAGTAACCGGTACTCGCTGAGGGCGACGTTTAAAATATAAAACTCGATCGTGAATTACTTCGCAAACAATATCTCGCTGCTCCGCAAACGCGTATTTCCGTTAAACCGCGGCATTTCTACAATTGCTCCTTCTTTTTCTTACTTTGCAGATGCCGACGGTTCTTCCTGCTGTGGAAAGAGTAAAAGTTATTTATCGGCATAAACGCGGGTTGTTCTTTGTAATTTGGAGATGCAAACGACTTTTTTTCCGTGCGCAACCGCACACGACAGCTCGGGTGAGACGCGTTCCTACGAACTGAAGATAAATTGTATTTACGAGAGCCTCGATGTACGAGTAGTCGCACTTTTGCGCGACTTGGTCGACGTGCTGTGTCACAGCTCGAGTTCACGTCCCTTTCTCTTGCTTTTTTCGAGTTTTCGTGGGATCTCGGGACGCAGTCGGGCATGTCGATCAATTTGGACGAGACAGCTTGTATCCGGTCGGTTTTGTCTCGAGCGCGAACTAACAGACGCGCGACAATATCGACTGACACGGGCAAAATAAAAGAGGGGAAAACAAAAATTTAGGAAAAGCTGCTTGAAGTCTCTGACACGATCCATTTGCGCGTCAATTTTTAATAGCGGTATTGACATTTTCGTAACATCAGACGCATTTGTACGCGTCGTCCAGTAAATACAACGTCGAGAAGAATTACGCAGGTCGTATCTCAGTCTGCGATCTTAAATTTAATTAAAATGATACGTATATAGTAACGAATCGATGTATAAATCGCTTTTAAAATGTATATCGTAGTACTTGGTTTATTATTCTTATAATTGATATCATGTCTCAGGTGTCAATAGAAAATCAGTAAGATGGAAACATATTTATGTAAAAAGTTATACAAATACTTATGCTCATTATATTATCAGGATGTTATACATTACTATATCGATAAGTAGGACGGTCCATCGTTGTCATCGTCTGAAGGTCTCAAAAACCAAGCTTGAAATAGCTAGAAATATACTTACAGAGGGATTTTTACTTATTTTTCAAAATGCAATCTGCCCTATAAGTTCGTCAGTTCAGAGAAAAAAAAGAGTTCAGATAAATATTCTCTATATTGGAAATAATACTCCCTCGCGCTTTCTTTCTCTATCTCTCTTCGATTCTAAAATAGAAACTAACAAGCGCGTGACAACAATACGCTAGAAACGCAAACGAGAGCCGCGTCGCGCTAGAGCATTAGCCGAAATCCATCCGACCAAAACTGCAGTGTCGTTACCGCATTGATCATCGATATGACGCACAGTCGCGAAATTGTCAGACAGTCGCGAATCGTTTCGCGCGTGCAGT